TTGACCAAGTCTTATTCTCCATACAGGATGGAGAGGACAGGCAGGTATTAGCAGGTACTGTGCTCTGGGCCCAAACTATCCTAGCTCCTAACCAAGACAGTCTGGAATTCCTTATGGCTCCTTCTGACCAACTACATGGCACTTTATACTCTTGTCATACCCCCCAGGACCAAGCTCAAGTTGCTGTTTTGGTCCAAGGATGTCCACTGCTGGGGTCCCTGCGGCAGGTCCAAGGACAGGAAAGAGAAGGGCTGAGCTTGCTCACTGTATATATTCTGCCCCCATTGCCTTACTTGATTCCCGTCCCTTCTTTTTCTGTTCTTCTGCCACAAAGCAGCATAGTCCACAAACTTACTTGTGAAAATCCGTTTATAAACACTCTTCCAGCAACAGATAACTTCCCACCAAAACCAAGAGAGCATTTCCACCACCCAGTATAAGAACGGTTGGCAGAGGCACCTTCAGTGATGGCCCTCTCTGGAACATAGGAACATGATGGTACACAGGAACAGGACGGAGCACTTTGAAGCATCCTCAGCAGTCAGTCTTGTTGTTTCCACCATCTTTTATTTATAGTACGCCAGCACGAAGGTAAAGGGCTGGCCCTAAGCTCTTTGAAGCAAAAGATTTCTGGACTGAAAGGTTCTGCAAGTCTCAGATCATTAAAAAGAGAGAGAAATAAATTCTACAGAGGCCCTGATCCCAAAACGGATGTACAGAGGGAAAAGAGACGGTGTCAAAGTGTCCCTGAACAGAGGGTGTTGAATCAACCCAGGAGACTGAGGGGAAAAGAATGGATGGTCAGTGAGTGAAAAAACTGAAGAAGAACAATGAGGCAGAGCAGAGAGGAGGGGGAGGGGAGGGCTTAGATAGAAGGGAACTCAACCGGGTCAGCCCCCCTCAAGTGTACCACAGCTCAGGAAAAAACAATGAAGCTGTGGATAGGGATAGGGACAGGTAGGCAGAAACACACATTGGAGAGGATGGTGCAGTAGGAGAAACACAGATATCCAGTGGTGGGGCAGCATGGAGGTCCCAGCTGTGCTATGTGGACTCCTGTTCTGACCACAGATATTTAGGTCTCCCAGGTTTTCTATGAGGTCTGCAGCTGGAGGCCTGAGGATTTGTTCTCCAAAGCTCTCTTTGTTGGTGTGTGAGGCTGTGTAGTTCATGGCATTGATCAGTTAGGATAAAGACTGATGTTATGAAACCTTCAGGCTTAGCACCAGCTAGCTTCCAGAAAAGGACAGTGGTTCTGGGGAGGGGGCTGTGGTCCTGTGTTTAGCAGCAATAGCCTTGAGACTAGATGGAGAGGGTTTGCAGACCTGAGGGTGTCACCAGTACTGCCAACGCTACTGGCTGAGTACCTACAGATGTCACTTATTGCACATGGTGGAAACCACCCCCACTGCCAACTGTGGCATGCTGGGCTCAAACAGCCAGCTCCCTCACCTCAGAACCACACTAGTGTTCTGTTTTTTAAAATCACATTTTAATTTTATTTTAAGGTAATGTTTTATTGATTCTTTGAGGATTTCATACATGTATCGAATGTTATTTGGTTCATAATTACCTCCTCATCCTCTAACACCCCTCAGATCCTCTTCCCAGCCCTCCCTGCTTCCAGCTTCATATCCTTCTACCCTTACCCCTGCCACCACCTCACAGCATGTACACAAAAGCAAACACTGCCTATCCCTCAGGTACAAATGTGCTAATTTATAGCTGAATTCATTCATCCATTCATTCAATAAAATACTCATGATCACCTTCTGTGGGGCAAGCAGGATACCCAAGAGGAGTTTGGTGAGGGTCCAGTGATGATGGTGTGCCAGAGACCTTGAACCAGACCAATAACTCATTGCAATGAACATTTTTTTTCGGGTGGGGCTGATGGGACAAAAGATGTGTTGGAAAGATGGTTTTGGTTTTTGTTGTTGTTGTTGTTGTTTACTTGTTTTGTTTTTAATGTTTTGGAGGGCCATGCTGCAGGGGTGAGGGACAGATATTGAAGGAGAGGGAGGTGAATGGGATTGGGGTACATGGTGTGAAATTCCCAAAGAATCCATTAAGAGAGAGAATGGGGGAACCAAGCAGCACGTGTGACTCCTGTCCCCCGTGGACCTCAATTCTGGCAGTGGAAAGAAACACTAATCAAAGAAATAGACACCTGTCTGCTGCTTGTATTTTCTTTAAAAATAGAACAGTTGTTGTTCAAATGGATCATTGAATAAAGTTCTTGCTGTGCAAGTCTGACAACCTGAATTCAATCCCAGAACCCATGCAGAGGTAAGACAGGATGACTACAAAAAGTCATCCTGTGACCTCCATATGTATGCTGTCATACACTTACACACACACACACACCACCACCACCACCACCACCACATAATAATAAAATGATTTAAATTTTAAGAGATAATATAGAATAAGTGGCTAAATTACAGGTCAGAGGAGCTTGCTCTGAAGTCAGAGGCCTAGGACCCTCCACTAACTTCTGGAAGAACTGGGTAGGCCATTGGTAGAATAGGGACCTATTCGGCAGAATGCATCTTGAAATGGGAAGAGAAGCAAGGTTCACATGGCTGGAGTGAAAGAGGGAGAGAGAGCATAGAGCCAGGCCAGAGGTTACGAGGGTTCAGGGTTTTCTTCTGGGTACCAGGGACGGCAGGGGCTGGACGTGGCTCCCATTATAAAGGCCTTACTTCTCTGGTGTGGAGAATTGCTATGGGGAGCCCAAGTCATGACAGGGAAACTAGGTAGGAGGCTGTTCCAAAATCCCAGTGAGAGAGGCTGGTGCCTAGGCCAAGGTGATGGATGCAGTAGGAGGTGGCCAACCTCAAGATTGTTTTGAAGATGGGATGGGACTTACTACTGTGAGGTAAAGAACATGCAGGTTGTCCCCTGCTGTTCTTATTTCCTGACATGAGAAAGAAAGTGGTCAGGAAACCTCACAGCTCATGTGGCACAGCTTCCTTACTTCCTGAAGCCTAGACTAACTAACCAGGATAGCACTTGTGGTTGGGATGTGGGGCGTGGTGGGGGAAAGGGTTATACTTTAACTTCCCCTTGGCCAGCCCCTTGATCTTCATCCAGCTCTCACCCCAAAAAGCTCTGCTTTGCCCCATGCCTCACTCCTTCACGTTAGACTCCACGTCCCTAGAGCTTCAGGCCTCGGGAGACCCTGGATCAAGAATGATCTCTGTCCTGCCTTGTTTCTTCTGCCTCCTCACCTGGTCTCTGGAGTGACTTACCCTCTGGAGTCCCGAGCCTCTTTGGCTAACTCCTCTGATTGATCCCATGGCTCCCAGATATAGCTGAACCTCAGTTCAAGTCCAGGTTGCTATTCCCCTCACGCTGTGTACTTCATGACTTTCCTTGGCCATTACGACCTTCCATGACAGTTGAACCCAGTCTACATGCAGTTGCTTCCCACTTTGTATAATTGGACATTTAATATGCTCTGGCTTCTGAACACCAGTTTGTTGGCAAGCACTGCATTGACTGCTTATGAATCCCTCAAGCTCCAGCATCAGAGAGTGTGACTTCATGCTTCCTGTGGGACCTGAGAAGCAGCATTTAGGACATGGTTAACATCTGAGCAGCTTCTGCTCTCCAGCAGTGTAATAGGGAAAGGTGTTCCAAACCCAAATCTCTCTCTAACTTCTTGCATTAAGTGGATCATTCCCAACTCTGACCTATAGGGACTCCAGGGAACCTAGCACACATCAGGGCTTTTCAGAGCAACCAATCCTAGCATGTGAGAGCTGGCACCAAGGTACTGTGAGACGGAGGAAAATGCAGGAAGCAGATTGTGGTTACATACAGTTCAATTTTGGCGGTGATTTGCTGATGGAAGGGTGGCCTGGAAGGGAGCCAGGCCAGTTGGATCCTATAATTTGATTCAGAAAAAGGATGAGTTTCCTGATTAGGACCAAAGTTACTATATCCTCACCACAACAGACCTGTTACCTTAAGACAGTGTCAAAGAGTTGGGAGCATCTCCAGAGCCAGGGTCTGATTGTAAAGCCCTGCATGCCATTCTAATGGTTTTATATCTGTAATTTACCACCAAATTATGCAAGAGAAAAAGAAATGACAAGGCTTACTCTGGGGGAATTATGATGGGTAAGACTCAAGGTGGCCATGGCCATGTGAAGTTGAATCAATAATTTGGGTTGTCTGTGAGGAGCTCTGCTACAAAAAGTGTCGCTCTGGTGGGCTCTTGAAGAAATGTTTACTCCTTGTGCTCACTGAACTAATAAACTGAAAACAGAGACCCGTAGGACTCCTTGGAGGACTCTTGCCTGAGCTGTCCCCAGAAGCGTGATGGGTTAGTTGTAATCTAAAATTATCTGAATCCTTTGGATTCTTACTGAAACTGCAGATCTCTGGGCTCAGACACAGGGTCAGAATTTCCAAAGGAATGGCTTTTAACAATTGACCGCCGTGACAGGGACGTTGGGGCCATTGCTAAGCTCTGCCCACTCTTTCCCGTGAGTAACACCCTTCCTATCTCCCCAGGTGATGCAGTCTGCTCAGACTGGCATTCTTGGAGAAGGGAGTGTGTTTTCTCTGCTAAAAACCAGAAGTGTCCGTGATAATTATAAACTTAAATTAACTGTGTGACAGACAGGAAACTGGGCACTGTCTTGAGGAAAGGGAGAGAATTATCTTCCAGGTTACCTAATGAGGTATACACTCCTGTTATCTTCATTTCTTTCCAGACAGGAAGGCAGGAAAGGGCTGAGGGTAAATGTCTTGTGCCAGGACATCAGCAGCTGGTGGAGCGGGTGGGAATGCCTGGCCCCTGAGCCCTCTCTCCTTGCTGATGCTGAATTTATAGCTCCACATCTTAATTGTGAGTCCATTCACGCCACTACCCAACCCGGAAAGGGGAATGGAGGGAATAGCAGAGAATGGAGCTTTGTGTTAGAGCCAGCAGGGGCACACGGCTGAGGGCTGATGGACAGGCACCTGAACCCCCTGTGTGTCCCCAGGTACTGGAACTCCTTGAGCAACCTTGTGGCGTCCTTGCTGAACTCAGTGCGCTCCATCGCCTCCCTGCTGCTGCTTCTCTTCCTGTTCATCATCATCTTCTCCCTCCTGGGGATGCAGCTGTTTGGCGGGAAGTTCAACTTTGATGAGATGCAGACCCGTAGGAGCACGTTTGATAACTTCCCACAGTCGCTCCTCACTGTGTTTCAGGTATGGACTCGATGCTGCCGTGCTCACTGGGAGGGTAGCTCAGTAGTGAATGGGAGACGGGCGAGAAGAAGCCTTGGAAAGGTGGGGTGGTGAAAGCAGCACCCTCTCACTGGGTGTAATGCCGGCCTGGGTCATCCATGGAAGGTCTTTCTATTGTTTCTTGTCTCTCAGCCTTCCACAGAGCTGCATAGGTGGGTAGACGAATGATACAACAATCTAACTGATCAGTTTTAAAATGTTTTGTGTGGCCTTGGCGCCCATTAGCCAAAGCAAACAAACAAAGCCTGTATGGACAGACAATACAGAAAGAAAAGTAGACTGATATTGTTGGGAAATAGAGGACCTGTCTTTACTTTCTAGCATCCTTGCTCCAGTGTCCTTGCCACTGGAAGAATTACAGATGGTTCAGAGTTGTGCTTTCATGAATGTTTAGGCATATGACAGCTAGAATAACATACATTTGAGTTTCAAAATAGGCTTATTTATAGACAAAGAGGAACAATCTATGTATATTTTATGTTGCTAAAATCTTAATGATGGTACCAAATTATTATATTTAACAGATGTGGATATAGCCAGTCACTGTCCTCATGATCATATTTGCCTGGTACTGCCACCAAGGGAACTAATGGCGGCCATCCCTTATACTATATGTTAAGAGCAACATAATGTACTGATCACAAATCTTTTTTATATGCTAGTGGCCATGCACTTTGTGTGTGTGTAGGGGTTAACTTGCCCAGGCCTGTAGTCCCCAAGAATAATTGGGAGTCAGAACAAGGGAACAAAGTTGAAATGAGATTTGGGACATTTCTGTTAACAAAGTGGGACAGGGCAGGGAAGGGCAGGCAGGGCAGGGCAGGGGAGTTTGGGGGTTTGCTGTTGGTCTAACGCTGTGTCCCTTATTGGTGGGAATGTGTCATTCAGATCCTGACCGGGGAGGACTGGAATTCGGTGATGTATGATGGGATCATGGCTTATGGCGGCCCCTCTTTTCCAGGGATGTTAGTCTGTATTTACTTCATCATCCTCTTCATCTGTGGAAATTGTATCCTTTGATGCTGATGCTGCCCCAACCCTGCTATCCCACTCAGCCTTTTGCACAGTGCCATATATGTGCTCCCAGGCGCTGGCTGGGGCTCTGTGTTGTGGCTGCCCAGCCACAAGCTAGCTGGGCAAGACCACTCTTGTAAGGAAATGTGTCCTGGCCTAGAACTGCTTCAGCCATGGTACCAGTCTGGGTACATGCTGCAGCTGGGACTCAGGAGACAGTGCACCCCACACTCCTGAACTCACTTACACTTTAGGGTACCCTCTCTATGAGGTGTGCTCTGGTCACAGACTAGGTGGATCAGGCCCCAAGCAGTGTGGCCTGTGCAGCCAATCTCACACAGACTAGGATGCAATATATCTGGAGATGTGTGTCCTGGCCACTCTGAAGCCACTGTACCTACTGATAGCTCCACCCTGTGTGTTGATTCGTTTCCTCCCTTTGAAGCTGTTCTTGGGGCTAAAGTCATAGGCAGAGTTGAACAAATTGCAAGCCCTTCCTGATAGCCAGTCAGAGGCAGGGACAGGACCCCGGGTCTGAAGCCTTAGGCTTGTCTTCTCTCGAACTGGTTGAGCCTGTGAGAATGGAATCTAGAGCTGGGTGATAAAATAGAAACACCTCTAGCCCCAAAACTTGAGTAAAACCTTTGTTTGAGTTGTTCAGAAATCAAGAACACTATGCCACTTGCAGACAAAATTGGCATTCCATCAGCTGAATGGCCTTTGGCACATCAACAGCCTTCTTCCTCAGTGTATCTACAGTGCAAGACAGGCTGAGAATCCCTGCTCAATAACCCAATATCTGGAAGCTTTCTAGTGCCTACAGGTTGCATTAGGTAGAAGACCACATGAGCATCTTGTGTACAAAATAATTAAAGGTTTGTATAAAGTTGATGTCAAAGTGTGTAAGATATTATATATATATATATATATATATATATATATATATATATATATATATATATATATATATGCAAATGTCTTTTGGGCCCTATCCCCAAGGTAAATTCCCTCATGTGTATTTCAAAATTTGAACAATAAATTGAAATGCAGATCTTGCTGCAAGTGGTCTGATAAGAACTCCTGAGCTTGCAGTGAGTAATAAGGAGTACTGCTTGAAGGGTCTCTTTGAACTGGTTGGAAAGATGCACACAAGGGCCCTATGCTCCCCTCTTTGTGGGGAGTGGTGTGAATATAAGGTGCCCAGGACAGGGCAGTAGGTTTAACAAACTTAAGACCCTTCCAGCTGTACTTTCTTGGTTCTATGGTTCTCTGGTCCATAGTGTTTCTGTTGGTGGAAAAGCAGGAGGGGCAGGGGTACAAAGGCAGATGACTGCTTCAGTAAGAATTCTCAAGTCTGTTCAGCTCTAGTCAGACCTGCTAAGGGTGTTTACGTATACAGACCGACAGGGATTCCAAGCCACCTCTTCAGTGCCCTGTTACGCGTGAATGGGTCTTAAGAGAATCTGCTAGAGACGGGGCTGCCTATCAAAGCCAGACATTTCCGTGGTAAAATGAAAAATGAAACCTAGCAACTAAAGAGCAAGGCAGGGACTGCTGTTTCAGACCTGCCCTGCTCATGTCTGCAAAGCCCACCTGATCTCAACCACTTAGAAAGCTCTGAACACTAAGCATGCTGATGGGGGAAAAAGAGAAGGTACATGACTGGTCTCTACCCCCCAGAGTGGGCTTCTCCTGGGGAACTCTTACTTCTGCATGCTTTATACTCTCCCTATCCCCTGTGGATGTCATGTTTCCCCAAACCAAGGGTCGTTTTCTTTAAGAATGGACACAAACAGATATCCTACTGAATGTGTTCTTGGCCATTGCGGTGGACAACCTAGCTGATGCCGAGAGCCTCACCTCTGCCCAAAAAGAAGAAGAAGAAGAGAAGGAGAGAAAGAAGCTGGCCAGGTAACCCTCTAAGCTTAGAATGTCATCCCAGGTGGGAGAAGGGGCTGGTGCTGCTCGTCCAGTGGCATCTTGGTTGAAATGGACTGGAGTGAAGCCTCTATAACAATGTGGCTCCCCCGTAGCTCCTAATCATTGCTGTAGTCTCTGCAGAGGTGTTGCATTTCCTCTGCCAGTACAGGAAGTAAGAGGCCATCCTTTGGGAGGAGGAGCCATGGAAACACAAGGAGAAGATAGGGGGAAGCTGCCTTCAGAAGAAAACACAACTCAGCTCAGAAAATGATGTTTTCTCGCTATGTTTGTGCCATTGGTGTGTTAGGAAGACAACATAAGGTTCTACATTCCATCCCATAATTATCTAGCTAGGACTGTCATATGCATGCCTCTGCTGGACACCAGGTAGATATCCTCTAGGAATCCTAAGTGAGACCCAGAATCCTATGATTTAAAAGGGGGAGCCACTAAGAATCTGGAAGAGGCCGGAGATGTACCAGACAGAGCCAGGGGTGCCCTAGCCCTATGGTACTTACAATGGAGCTGCAAGTGTGATGTTCCCTGCAATAGAGACAATGTGTGTAGACCCAAGACTGATCTTGCTGCCCCCAGAAGACCACAAAGCTGTCTACACTGTCCACTATCATTCCAGTAAACATCCATTTCTGGGTTTTTTTCCTGCTGACCGGCCAGGACTGCCAGCCCAGAAAAGAAACAGGAGGTGATGGAGAAGCCAGCAGTGGAGGAGACCAAAGAGGAGAAAATTGAGCTGAAGTCCATTACTGCAGATGGAGAGTCCCCACCCACTACCAAGGTGAGGGGCTTCTTTAGAAGCTCAGGGACTACCACTAAGTATGTGGGGGGGGGTTCCTGTTCTTTACCTGAAGGAAAGGGAAAGAAGGGAAGGGTGAGGGCGGAAGAGAGTGACAGATGGAACTGAGAGGGAAGAAAAGACACACTGGTGGACCTCAGCCTTCCTGAGTTCCCAGGGGAGCTGAAAGCCACAGGGACAAGGATGCATTTTTGCAGAACCTGACTATGGTGTAATTCCAAGGCTCCTCTCTGTCCAAGAACTTCAGCACTCATCTAACTGAATTCTTCTTCCTTCCCTTGGCTGCCTAGATCAACATGGATGACCTCCAGCCCAGTGAAAATGAAGATAAGAGTCCCCACTCCAACCCAGACACTGCAGGTACCATTGTACTACCTGACTCTGAGACTGAAAGGCTGTGGGTAGACTCAGCTATGTGGGAGTGACCCAGCACTGGGACCATGGGACTAGTTTCCACTACGAGCACCTTCACCACTAAGCATCTCATATCTGGATTTAAGTGTTTCCAGTTGTCGTCTGGGAGAGATGCTCTTCCTGGCATCCTCTTAGTAAGATTGAGATAATAGCATATTTGAAGAAGACTTTGAATTATAATTACTTTGACTCAGTCTTTTTAAAATTACTGTTTTTTTGTTTAAGAAAAGGGAGAACAACATATGCAGGATACAAATTAAATATTTTCTAATAATAGTAAATTTCACAAAGAAATTTATCCTAAAAATAATTCTTCCATATACATATCATTTTATCAGCTATTAAAGACTAATGCAATTTTCATACTAATTAGACAGATAGGCTTGTTTTATATATAAAGACAAATCTTGGCTGGATATTTGATGTTGCAGGACACAGAACATCTTAACATGTTAGATACTTGGTCAATATTTTTATTTTATAAGTGTCAGTGCTAAGAATACTATCTCACATCAACAGCAGTAAATAATGGACCTATGTTTAGGGCCAGAAATTGTTAGAAATGGCATCCTAATCCCAAGCCAACATTCATTTAATGATTTTTCTTAATGACAGCAGCTCAAACAGCAATTTTTAATATCTAGAGATCATTTGACTCTTACATTAGAGGAATGATAGTAAAATATTGCCTACTTCCCACAATTAAACCATTATGGATCTACCACAGCAGAAGATTCCAATTGTGCTTTGTGATTTGCAATGGTTTTAGATCTGAATTGTGATGTCTGGGGCCGTGTCTGCTGGCATAGCATGGGGAGGCAGCACGCACAGTGGAAGTTCCTGCTGGGTGTTCAGAACCAAGGCTGCAATGAAGCTGCGGGAAACATGAGCAGGTGCTGGCAGAAGCACCGTTGATCCATCTCACCCTTGCTTTTGAATTAAATTTGGTGGTTACACATTCATAAACCTCTCACTATGGGCAAAGTTTTTATAACCCCCATATTTAGTTGCCATGACCCATAGTTTAAGATGTGTTCACCACTGTTGTGTTTAAGGTTTCATTACAGTGCGTTCCTGTCACTGTCAACTTACATATTTTATTAGTATAGCATATGTTGCTGCGTTATGCTCACCTAATAATAGTCAATCCAAGATCCATCTTGTCATTACTTAGGAGGCATTGCTCACTATGAGGACAGCTGCCATCACAGATGTCCCGTGTGTGGCTCCATGAAATGATTCAGGTCTCTCGTTGCAAAGGGAACTCTTGTGACAAGTTTCTGTGCATCTGTCTGATGCATGACTTAACAGCCTCCTTTCAGAGGGTTTTAAGGTCGGAGGCCCTGGCTGACCCTCCACAGTATACACCCCAGCTTCTGGAAGCCCAGTCACAACATGAGCCTTAGGCTCGCTTCCTTAAGCTGCTAATTTGTCACAAACTCCAAGCTTGAAGCCAACACACAGCAAATGACTCTAGATTGTAGTGACCTTTCTTCTCTGACCAGGTTAGACTGCATTGGGCTGGTAACCAGGGAGGTGACAGGAAGCCATGTTTTTAAGCAAAGCTATATGTCTCCATGTTGCTTTTCCTTCACTGGTTCTCTACTGGGTCTGCAAAGGTGCTACAGACCTCCTCCCTGGAAGCAGCTCTCTTTCTCCTCCACCTTCACTCCCTTTTCCCTGGAAGGGAAGTAGGTTTGGTGTCTGTGGCTCACACAAGAAGAGCAGAGTGTGTCCATGTTTTGATGTCTCAAAATCCTCTGGGTTTATGGGGAAGGCTTCACAGAATATTAAAGGCTTGCTAGGAGCAATGACTCAATGCAGTGGAAAGGTCTTGTCTGTGTCCCCAATAAATAAATTCTATTTTAAAATGATGTTTTTGAGATAATTGGGAGAAAATTGAATATGGACTGGGGACTAAATTATTTTAAGTAGATTTTTGTTAATTGTGTTAGTATAATAATGTGGTAATTCTGTTTCTAAAATACTACAGTGTTTATATCTAGAGTCTGAAGTGTTTAGAAGTTGCTGTAAAAACATTTCAACAGTCTACTAACGTGAGAGCAGAAAAGATAAGTAAAACTACATCAGCAAATGTCAGTAGATGTCGAAAGCAGATATAGAAAGCCACTCTACAAGTCTCTCTACTCCTGTGTATGTTTGTAAACATTGAAGTAAAATTACAGTAAAAAGAATACACCACTCTGGGCCCCAAGAAGAGCCCATCTCAGGCTAGTGTGGCCTGTAGGAGGCAGCCCTGTGTACACTGTGGACTGTATTTGCACCCTTTCACACATATACTCAGCTAAGCCAAGCTTGAACGCCCACCAGACCTCCCATGTCTGTGGCTATGATCTTGAGCTGTATTGGTCTAAGTAGAATATAGAGTGTTAACCTTTTCTTAGCCTTTGATAGACACTTGCCTTCATTTTTCTTGGTCCTTTCACCCCCTTAATTCTTATGTTGGTCAGCTTCCTGTCAGTGATGAAATACCAGAAATAGTGACTCTGTAAGGATGAAGGGCTCTGACTCACTCAGTTTCAGAGGTCAAAGTCCATGGTATTTGACGAAGTCACTCAGGCCTTTGGCAAGGCTCCATGGGTCAAGGGTATGTGTGTGTAGTTCTGTTTCTTAAGAAAGTGTGGAAGTTTAATCATCATCGAAACTAAGGACTCCTGGGCTGGGGGTGTCGATCAGCAAGTAGAGTGCCTGTCTGCAATCACAAAGCCCTGCTTTCTATCCACCGACCACATGGGCACCACATAAAACATGTGTAACACACATATGCAACCCACAGCACTTGGGAGATATAACAGAGGGGAGCTGGGGAGGTCATTCCTTGAAGCCCAGGTACTCAGGACACTGGAGGGAAGGCTACTCTCTCCACAGCATATGTTTCAGGGATTCAAATGGGAAAATATAGGTGTGGTTCTGTTTGTTTGTTTGTTTGGTTGGTTGGTTGGTTGGGGGTTTTTGTTTAGTTGGTTAGAATTTTGGTGAATTTTTTGTTGTTGTTGTTGTTTTCTGCTTTTGTTTTGAGACAGGGTTTAACTGCAAAATTCTGGCTGGCCTGAAACTTAGTGTGTAAACCAGACTGGTCTCAAACAGAAATCAATCTGTCTCTGCCTCCTGTGTGCTAGGAGGTGTTTGGTTTTTGTTTTTGTTTTTAGTTGTAAGTATAATTTGTTAATTTAAAGGAATATTCTTATTAAATTTATTCCTTGATAGTTGCATAGATATATAATGCATTCTGGTTACTCTCACCTCCCTACCCTCTCCTACTTCCCTCCTACCCCTGTGGGTCTCCTCCCGCTTTCCCTATGTGTCCCTTTCTCACATGCATGTCTCTGCACTGACATTTTCGGCAGCCCTGCAGAGAAGGCACTGCAGGGAAGCACAAAGAGAGAGAGGGCATTAGCCTCGGCGAAAGCACATAGCATTGCAGTTTCCTGGGACCTAAGAAATAACCACACATCAGGTGCCTTAAAATAAGCGAAGTTGACACTATCACACTTTTACATATGTCTGACATCAAAGTGTTAGCAGAACCAGTCTCCTTCTGCAAGGAAAAAGTCCTTGCTTGCCTGATTCCTTTGGTAGCCTGAAACACTCAACTTGTAGACCTACCATGCTAATCTCTAGCTCTGTCTTCTTTACATGACCTTCTAACCCGAGTGTGCCTTTAGACCTTGCATGAGCAACAATCATTACATGTATGTGCCAACATGGTCCATCATAACTAATTACATCTGCAAAGACCCTGTTTCTAAGGCCGTGCGCTGAAATTCTGGGTCAACTCACGGAAGTTACTAGCCAGAAAATGATTGGACTTGAGTAGATAGTTTGTTAGGAATTCAGAGCAGGCAAGGAGGAGACTGAGAAAGATGTTGACCACTAATTTCACATGCTCTGTATCTGTCCTCTGGGTAGAGATGGCAGTGTGAGAGCTGCCACTCCCACAGTTGCAGCTCCATGCCAGACTGTTCTGAAATGTCTGTGTACTCTCACTACTATGCCATCATAAGAGCTGAGCACGGAGAGACTAAATGTAAAAGCCATATTCAGAAAGCACCAGAGTCATGACTTAGATGAAGGCATTTCCTGGAGCATTTCTGTGTATGACAGCCACTGCAAGCTACCCTTCCCAGGCTGTGCATTTCTAAGAATATTTGACCAGAAGCACATGTAGTGCCTTCCCCACAGATGCCATGAGGCAAGCTAAGTAGGAACTGTTTGACTTTAGTTTCCCTAAGCTCTGGCCACTGGCCAGAAGAGCAGAGGACCCCTCCACTTGATGTCATTGTCCAACATCATGGTCAAAGGCCTCTTGTCATTGCTTGGGCTCTACTATTCCTGCCTCATTTTCTGGGAGATCATAGAAAAATACGGGGATTTTGAAGTTAATTTGGTCAGTTTTTAAAAATGAATTTTAATTACATTAGTTCTTTGACAATCTCATATATTTACAACATTCTGGTTACTCCTGTGGCCACACCCTACCTCTCCCATCTCCCTTCAACCCCTGTCATACACACCCCCTTCCCTACATTTTGTGTCTTTTTTAGTGGTTCTGTGACTCACTGAGATTAATCAGAACTGCCTGTATGGCTGTGGGTATTGGAATTGTCCATTGCAGCCTGGTTGGCTGGCTCTTCCTTGTGTATTCAGCCAATGACAATGCCTGCCCCTCCAGAATCCAGTGAAGTCAGTAGTTCAGCATGGAAAGGTGGGGCCCTGTGAGTCTCTTCTTACTGTCCATGACTGACTACTGACAGGCCCAGTTTTGTGCAGACCCAGTAGAGGCCACCTCAGCTGCTGTGGAATCATGCCTGCAATGGCTGTCATACCCAGAAGGTCGCATTCTGCAGCCCTCATTCCTGTCTTCGGGCTTACAAGTTTTGTCATGTTCCCTGAGTCTTAGATATAAGTGTCCTATTTGGGACTGGAGCATGCAACTGTCACTTATTCTTGGCATCAACAGCAACCCTGAGTCTCTGTGTTAACTACCATCCATTGTGACCGGAAGATTCTTGATTACAGCTGAAAGTAGCATTTTCTGTGGCCATAAAGATAAATATTCAGAAGGCAATTTGTGGCCATGTCAATTCAGATACAAAGCAATAGTAAGTCCCCTCATTTGATGAAGGGGAGTTTCAAGAATAGACTTGGCCAGAAGGGATTGCACAAGTCACGTGAGCCATCCTCTTTTCTCACCTCAGCTAAGATGAATGGGTGACACCTGGCAGCGCCTGGGCTTATCCCAGCCTGCTCTCTAACACCTTTCAACCAGGGTAACCAATTGTCTCTTTTTCTCAGTATTAGTGGGTTTTCCAGCATACAGGATTTTCAGTTTTAAAACCTTAGCAGTTTGGACAAACGTATTGTTCATCCTATAGCCCCTAGTATTATATACTCCTAGCAAAGCCTCTGACAGCCCCATGGGGTGGAGCAGAACATCTGCCTGGATTAACGTTCCTCAGCTCAGAGGCACCAGTGGTTTCTTGGTCCTGCAATAGGTTGTGTCTGGAAGGAGGCACAGAGGTGAGACTGAGTGATGGAGTTGAGAATGGAGCTTTTTGCTCTTTCTTACAGGGGAAGAGGACGAGGAGGAGCCTGAGATGCCTGTAGGGCCACGCCCCCGGCCCCTGTCTGAGCTACACCTGAAGGAAAAGGCAGTGCCCATGCCAGAAGCCAGTGCGTTTTTCATCTTCAGCCCGAACAACAGGTGTGTAAGAATGGCAAGGAAAGAAAACTGCTTCCTCCTAGAACCAAACCTAGCACAAGACTGTATCCAACTTACAGGAGGAGACTGGGTGTTCCTGGCTCCCCACAACATATGTGGAGACACCAATTAGGAGAGCCCTGGAGTGTTAACCAGTTAGTCTGCCATTACTTCCCTCCCCAGGATTCTCATGTGTGAAGTATTCCTAGTCCACCAGTGGTTACCTCTGCTACTTCACTAAGTCCCTCTACCTTAAGACACAGAGGCTCACCAGTACTGAAAATGTCCTGCCTGTATATTAGGACTAAGGGGACAGGCTCCTGGGGTATATTACAAGGATGAAAGGGTCAGACTCCTGAGGTATATTACAAGGACCGAGGGGGCAGGCTCCTGAGGTATGTTACAAGGACCAAGGGGGCAGGCTCCTGAGGTATATTACAAGGACCGAGGGGACGGCTCAGGCTAAGCCTCACCTTTCCTGTCATCTCTCTCCCTCCTTCTCACACAGGTTCCGCCTCCAGTGCCACCGAATCGTCAACGACACCATCTTCACCAACCTGATCCTCTTCTTCATCCTGCTCAGCAGCATCTCTCTGGCTGCTGAGGACCCAGTCCAGCACACCTCCTTCAGGAACCATGTATGCACTCTATGTTGTTTCTGCACCCTGTCCTTCTGAGAATGGGACGGGCCCACAGCTTCTGCTGCTGGCGTCACGCTCAGTTTAGGAGGCCTGATCCAGACCTCACAATCTGTACACAATAAAGAGTCCTTTAAGAGATTAGGACTTTGATAGAAAACCCAGACTGGAAGTTTTCACTGAGCAAGTGAGCATGTACCCAAATGCATCTGGCTAGTTGATAATGGACAGCAGCCAGGCATCTTGTTGCCTGTGGATGTTCCCCAGGAAGCTCAAGTTGCCTGTAAGTCAGCAATGTGGCCACTGGTTTCATGCCCTGCTCCCATTCCCTCTGACTAAGGAGGAGCATTGGCAATTAGGTGCCAATGGTAAGGCTGACCGTATAAGGAAAAAACAAAAACCCTGTGATGATCTTCAAGTTAATCTGTTTGGAGCTACCCAAGGTTCTAGTGACCAACTTTAAATACTAAAATAAGGATTGCTGTACTTCAAAACCCCAAAGCTTTATTAAACCTCAGCCACGCAGGCATGAAGAAAAGAGCCACTCTCCAAAGTCATGTCTATAAACAAAGTTCTCAGCTTTGGGGTTCTGCCTGCTCCAGGCTTTTGCTGAGGTCACTAGGAGTAGCCTCAGACCTGATCCACCTCTCAAGATGAAATCAAATGTCAATGCTATGGCTCGTCCTCAGCCTGGGCTGACCTGGAGGACTTCCTTCCTAGAGCCCAAGCCCATGAAAGCAATGTAAGTGTCCTCCTCTGACACAGGGTACCACACCCATGTGAGGGCTGAGCATTTGAGTGGCCCTGCAAACACAAGCCCATTCTGCTCTCTTGACCAACATTCCATGGTCTATTCTGGGTTTGTAACTAAATTGGGTGGATGACAGAAGCATCCAGACGGATGCTCTTTAGACCTGGTTCCCATTGAGGCCTGCCCTGGAAGCTCCCCCTACCTGCCTGCAGATGCCATGCGGAGCCAGAGCCACCTGTGCTAGCCCTGAGTAGGAACTGACTTGGGGAAGTCCTTCCTCCCTGTCTGCTCGCCTGTCTCCATGTGGAAAGGCTCTGGCAGTGTACGGGGTTGCACCTTGTTTTGAAGTGCTTTTCCTTTTCTGGTGAACATCCACTGACCTCTCCCTTTCCTGCTTGTGTCCTGCCCCACCCCCTCCCCCATCCTATTTGTTTTTGTTTTGCAGATTCTGTTTTATTTTGACATTGTTTTCACTACCATTTTCACCATTGAAATTGCTCTGAAGGTAAAGCCCCGCCTCCCTCTATCTTCCTTCCTCTCTCTGCCAGTCCCAGCTCTCTGCTGCTGTCTGTCTTGTTGCTAACACATGCTCCTGTTGGTGTTGGGTGCACTCTCAGAGCCACTAATCCAATTCTGCTTATTTTTCAGATCCTAGGCAATGCAGACTATGTCTTCACTAGTATCTTTACATTAGAAATTATCCTTAAGGTAATGCCCCCCGAGCCATGTGTCTCTGTCTCTCTGTGTCTCTGCTCTGTCTGGTGACTCTTCTGTTCCCTCCACTCTCTGACTCTTGTGTCCTCACTTCATGCTAGCACTTCACCCCAGCTCAGACGCCAGGAGAAACCTGCCCTACCACACCTCTCCCTTCTGCTCACTCAGCAGCAGTTCTAGGCCCAGAAAAGTCACGCACAGGCTGTGTCACCATGGGCGCTGTCCCATCCCACTGGCTGAGCATGGTGGCTGTCAATGTGGTACTGAGCACAATTTCTGTGTGCTCAGTACCCGTGTGCGCATGTACCTTCTCCAATCAGTCGATGGCTGAGCCCTACTTGAAATTCTCTCTCCCTCCTCCTGCATAGAGGAAATGCCACACAGGCTCTAGAAAAGCAAAACCTCTGGCGCCTGAAGGAGTCACTTTGGCTCCTCTCTTTGGAGGCTTGTCATCAATACCTCCCTCAGTACTAAGGCTAACATAATAGCTAAGCAGAAGTTGGGGCTGGGTAATAGTAATGGTGGGATTGGGAGCCAGCGTCCCAACTGGGTCATATAGCAGACAACTAGAGGTTGTTTCTAACCCCTTGGTGACCTGCTGCTCTATGAGAGAGGTCTTTTTACAGGTTGTTACATGTATGTCTGAACCTGTAAATCAATGCATGGCCTTGATGGTCTACCTGGGCTGTAGGACCTTGGGTATTATTGGCTTCTCTCTGAGCAAGGGGGAGATTTTACCCTTGAGCAGAACAGAGGAGTTGTAGTCTCTGAGCACAGGCCTCAGCTTAAGCATCTTCCTGGGACGACGCCCTCTCCCAAAAAGCTCAGGCCTCTCTTCAGCCCATCCTTGGGGTAGATACAAGCTGCTGTCCACTCTGAGTGTGCACCAGTGCCAGCTACTTTCTTTTCCTGATGAAACCCTCAGATCACGCCCAGCCTTTTAGTGGGCTTGACATTTCTGTGTCATCCAGATACAACTTGAGGTGGGCAATTTCTGTGTGCCTCCCAGGATGTCCTTGTGCCTCAGAGGCTCAGTGGTACTGACCCTTAGCTTCCCTTGCTCACCAGCTGTGTAGCTCAGATTTTTCTTTCCTGCTCAGAGAGAGTAGATGGGGAACAGATTCCTGGAAGTGGGTACCCAGAGCCTACATTCAAATTCCTCCTGGAAAGGACTCCCTTTCCATGGCGAGCCGCTTGGCTGCTGCACCCTAAACTCAAGATCGAAAACAGGTCCTGGAAGATCTTTCCTAGGACAAGAAAATCTCTGAGGCCCAGTTCTCAGGACCCCGTGCCAAGCTTCAGTTGAGGATTTCAATGGTGCTTTCTCCTTAAGATTGCCATGCAAGCGGAAATGAAAGTCTCTGCAAGCATTGCCATGGCAAGCCCTTCCCCCACTTCTTCCTTCGGCTTCCGGTCTCTTTTCGCTCACTGTGCTTCTGAATACTCCTCCCCGCATTCCCAGTCCACTTGCCACACCACCCACACTTGGGTTTGTCTGCCCAGCTGGGAGGTCCTGTATCATGCCAAGGCTCTAATTGTGATGGTGCCCGGAGCCTCATTTGCTCTAAGAGACCGTTGAAGGGTCTGGGGGCATTTGTCTTTAAAAGGACAGGGCAGATAGGAGCATACTAGTTATTCTGAATAATGGAAAGGACTGTTCTGTAGAAGAAAGTGAACGTAGAATCAGAACCAGCCAAGGACATGACACAAGTGATGGGGTGATTTGTCCCTAGAGCTAGACCTGAAGAAAGGTGATTGTCTGGGTTGGGTGGCAGGAGACAACTTCACCTCCAGCTCAAAGAACTCGGAAGCTTCTGTCTCATTCCATTCCTTTCTCAGGATACAGATGCTTAGTCCCAGGCCTTTCCTGGGAAATGGCTTCAAGTTTTCAGGAAGCAGGGACCAGATAGGTGACAAGCAGTAAGTAGCACAGGGGAGAAGAAGGTCACTTGTACAGGTATCTGAACATGGCTTTTTCTGGTGCCATGAATGCACATAGACTCCCAATATATGTTCTCTCTTCCAAGTACCTGCTTGCCCTTTCTCACCCCGTCCTTACTCTGATCCTGCCTGGGCACATGTCCATTGCTCCCACCCCACATTGTCATGCATTCTAAAGGGCTGCCCTACTTCTAGTGTCCCCGACAAAACAAGTCCAAAGTCAAGAGACAGAAGTTGTGCTATGAGCCACATTGTCCCACTGACCAAAACTTTCTGGTGAATATAAACTGTGGCAGCCACTTTACTGTCTGGGGTCCAGGTCTTCACAGAGTCGTAGGACAGTGAGCCCACCAGATTGTAGTCTTTGAAAGCGATCTGTAGCCATATTAGCCTATAACCTTTTATGTAATCTCCCCACTTCTAAAAACTGCTGCAGAGCACAGATTCCCCAGTCCCCTGTGGTATCCTGCTGCAGGAGATAAATGGAAAGAATTAGGTCGCAAGAGCTATTTTTGCCAATTTCCCCATGTTGGCTTTTGTATTGGTCTTTGGGTGTACCACCCTGGACATGCTCTGATTCCAAAGAGAAAAACTGGGCTGTAGATGACCAGGAAGCTGCTCTTGGTCTCTCAGCCATCAGTTCCAAATTTTTTCCTTCATGACCTGCAACATTGTACTGGCTCCTCCTGGGTATCTGTGAGCCTTTACTGCAGGCAGCAAAGTGTGAGTATACAGGGTGCACTTTTCCACAAGCAATGCTAACACAGGAGGCAATGTTAGTCAGATCCTAAAATAACAGTCATCACCTTACATGTTCTTGTTTTTGAACAGTTTCAGAGAGCTCTCCCTTTGCTTTGCTGTCTGACCTGCAGAAAAAACATCACTCACACTTTATAGATATTCCACTGTACAGGAAGAATATAGAGCTCAAAACCAAGTTACAGTGAAAGACAACACATAAGTGGAGCTTGTCGTGCAGAAACATGTCCTAAGTGCTTTATGTATTACTCCACTGATGCTCACAACCCATGGACCAAGTATTGCCATTGTCCTAATGTGTGGATCACAAAAAAGTTAATTTTTTGCATGAGGCACATGAAATATAGCAAAGTTGAGCTTTGAATCCAGGTCATCTGGCTTCAGAGCTTGTACTTTATACCACTGTACCACTTTGCCCCTCTGAACATAGCTCCTACTCTTAAAAAGACCCCAGATATAAACTAGAAGACAGACAGTGACGTCCAGCTTATGCATTTGATGGAGGTCCTAAGCACTACTAAGACCAGCATGTAGGGAGACACTAACTGCAGTTATTGGTACAACAGAGATCTTCTAGGGCATGAGATTATTTTTTAATAAGTCCTATACAAATCAGGATGGTGAGACACCCATCTAGGTGTGTCTCATTCTTTCATTGATGCCTAGTGTCTCAGCTGGCCCTGAGAGTGAGATGCAGAAAAGAACTTAGGAGGCGTGCACACAGTGGTAACATAACCTATGCAGAAGCAGCAAAGGGCCCTGCAGGGTGCAGCCGTGTTGGCTTGGGGATGAAGGACGGTGGAACGGTAGAGAAGTGTCATGGTGCCAACCTGAAAGGGTTTTGGATTGAAGACCCTGACACTTGTCGGAACTACTTAATGTCCTGAGCTGGGGAAGTTCTTTAGTGGTGGAATGGATGGCAGAGGAGCTTCTTGGCACTGTGTTACCTTTGATCCTTCCTGCTGTCCCTGTGCAGTGCTTGGGCTCTTCCCTGGGGATGCTGATGGCCTAGACAGGAAGCGTGGTGTCTAAATGTTGCCTCTGAAGCCTGGACGGGTCGCTCACTCATGTTCTCTCCCTCCCTGCAGATGACTGCTTACGGGGCTTTCCTGCACAAGGGCTCTTTCTGCCGAAATTACTTCAATATCTTGGACCTGCTGGTGGTTAGCGTGTCCCTCATCTCCTTTGGCATCCAGTGAGTCCCTCAACTCAAGATGGGTTCGGGCAGCTACAAGTGGGTGTCAAAGAAGTCAGCCAAGCCCTGGGGAGCCTTCTGACTGGACTCACACAGTGTGACTATGATTGGAATGGGATGGGACCTAAAGTGGCACACAATGTTTGCTTTGATTCTTTCTCCTCCCCCTCCTCCCCTTCCTCCTCCTCTCCCACCTCTCTTCCTTGGGTACCTGGGATTGAACACAGGGCCTAACTTGCTAGGCAAGTGCTCTACCACTAAGCAACAGCTACCGCTCTTTTTACTTTTTATTTGCTCCCCAGGCTTGCTCTAGCCTCCTGAGTAGTGAAAATTATAGACCTACACCACCAAGTCCTACTAAATTTCTTGTATCTTTGTCTTCCATGATCTGACACTTGGGGTATATTGATCCATGAGAATCTGTTAAAATGTCTACATTTTTGTCATGGTAGGTTCAGGCCCCATGATAAACAAACAGACATCTATGGTACCTTCTTCTGCCTGAGTCTCTTTCACTGTGTTTAAGGCCTGGGACTGTCCTAGAGCTGTCCAAACCTACCATGGCTATGACCTGTGACCTATCCTGACCTAGCTCACACTCTTTGTCTGATCCCCACTTGTGTCCTCAATCAAAGCCGTGTGTGTGTGTGTGTGTGTGTGTGGTGTGTGTGTGTGTGTGTGTGTGTGTGTGTGTGTGTGTGTGTGTGTATACACAGAGGGGAGTATGTATGCACTTCTGTTACAGAAAGAGAAGGAGGAAGAGAGAGATTGAGGAGGAGGGTGGGGAGCACTGATCCTTAATCTTAGCTCCACAGAGGAACCCTTCTAGGGTAAGTTAAAAAGAATGCCTTTTTCCTGGGTCCCACCCCTGGAGGTTCGGATGCACAGGACCAGGTATGAGTTGTAAAACTCTGTAGCCTGGTTCCCTCTAAGGTCAAGTTTAAACCTTGCTCAGGTTTTAAAGAAATTTGATTCCGAGTTTCTACCTATTTTAACAGCTGTGCTTATTAATCCTACGCTTTGAGTTTTAAAACATTTTCACATACCTGTTCTTCCAACACACACACACACACACACACACACACACACACACACACACACACACACACACACACACACCTATAAGGTAGGCAAGGAAATGCTACTATAAAATTTGGTGTTTAGTACATTAGGAGATTTATCCAAGGTTATACCAGTGACCAAGACTTGTATCCCAGGCATCTTGGGTCTGTCTTCCCAAGGTTGGTTCATAGTTAGCCTCCATGGTGATATGGGGGCCATGGAAGTAAAACCCTTCTCTTTGGTTATCAATTATGTTACCTAAAATTTCTCTCTGAGAGCCTGGACATCAAGATTCCCACCTCAGCACTACTATAGTCACTGGTTCACGTTGAACCAACAATTCCTGTTGGTTGTTTTCATTTTTGTTTTGTTTTCTAATCTGTCCTTTAAATTCTTTCCATTGTGATGCAGTGCAAACTGCCACCTTCCAGAGATGCTATGGGAGCGTTGATGGAGAGGAATGTCCTTTGTCTTTTGAAAGAAAGATCTATGAACCAGAGAAATTGGATTTTTGTATTAGCTCCCTCTTGACATAGGAAGGATAAAATCAATACTTGCTAACACATCAGACCCCTTCTTTTTGTTTCTTAGGCAAGTTTGAGTCCTCTTGTCACATGCTGAAGCACACTCCTTAATTAGACAGCACCTCAGGTCAGAGGTCACTTCAGAGGCTGCTAAACCACTGAGTGTCATTAATGACAGATGGAAACCATCTAGCCATCTCTATGAAGGGCATGTGGGTACCTGTCTCTACTCTCCACCAGGAAGTACCCATAGCCCAAGGCACCGAGATATGCTGGCATGACGTTGACATTCCATGTTTCTTGGGACATCACTTTTTCTTTGAACATTTTTACTGGCACACTGTTGTTGCCTCATTGGTGTCTGAGCATGTCCTGAAACACAGTAAAATGTATATACTGTAGTGGGCAGTGACCCAGGCATTGTGTTTGGAAATGTTGCAGAATTCCTTCCCCATGCCTACCACCTCCAACCACAAGGCCTGAAGTTTCACCATACATTTGGGGTGTAGTGTAATGATGTCTTCAGCAGACAAGATAATGAAAACTGCCATTTGTTTGCTAGATTTGTAATATGTGCCAATTTCCTACTACCTAATGTCCACAAATTCTCCTTCAATCTCTGAAACAATCCTTGGAGCTAATTACTGCCCCATTTTCCAGATGAAAAACGGGGGCACACAAAATTAAGAAATGTGTCCTGGGTGATTCAATGGGCAGGTCACAGCAATGGGAACTAATGCAGGTCTGGCTTGCTTTCATTGTCATATTTTTGACACTGTAGATACCTCTTACTTAGCATATTTTATTGCTAATGATTTGGGTTTTGTGCCCCAACCCTCCCTACACCAGGAGATCAAAAGAAGGCCTCAAGCATGCCAGGCAAGCCTTCACCCTGAGCTGTGTCCCCACTGCCCTTTACTATCAGGAAAGTCCCAGATTCTTAGCAGTGAGTGATAGAAGTTCTCAGTCCCCAAAACAGAGTCTACATCATCTATCTATCTGTCCATCTGTCTGCCCATTCATCCATCCATTCATCCATTGTCCATCTAAGACCAGTCAGAACAGCATCTGCACAGGCCATTTTCTGCTGTATTGGAACTGACCACCCGCCCTGCTTCTCTCCCAGGTCCAGTGCAATCAATGTTGTGAAGATTTTACGAGTGCTGCGGGTCCTCAGGCCCCTGAGGGCCATCAACAGGGCCAAGGGGCTAAAGGTAAAGTAAGAGGGTCTGGGTGAGCAGCCATCAAAGCAATAAACATTAACTATCCCTCTGGCTGGAGGAAGCTGAGGTGACAGACAGGCTACCAGATGGATAGACAAGTGTCAACCATGGTAGAGTCACTCTCTTAAGCAAAATGTTTCAAAGGGTCACCCTCCCCACACAGATACTTCAGGTGGTGTGCCAGTCTCTGTGTACCCGAATCTTGGCAAGGTAGACACTGAGGCTGGGGTCCCAGAAGCACTAATTTGCATCAAGATAGAATAAGCAAAGAAGGTTACTGACTTGATACTGATGGAGAGTGGCCAAGACAATAGGAAGTTGGTGGCCCTCCCTTGTCAGGATCTAGCGTTCATGTAGTATTGAATGGTTCTTCCTAGATGCTTCCTGGAAGGAATCTACAGGGCACTAACAGAGCTGGCTCCAGGGAGTGGCCTCCAGAGCAATTGAAATTCCCTCATTTGTTCCTTACCTGGCTCAACTCACAAAGCACACACAGTACTCTTCCACTTAGATAACATTCAGATAGGTAGGACTAAGACAAGGGAGAAGCCGTTTTTTGAGCTAACTGTCATACCAATTGGTCTTCCAAACCCCTGTCAAGGCAACGAATAAACAAACAAACCACAGATTTTTCCCTTAAAGAAAATAAAAATTTATTTATTTTGGGGCCAAATATGAGTACTCAACCCGCTGCAACAAATACCGTGTTTTTATTGTTAATTAGTTACTCATTTATTATTTTACTTGTCTCACAGCATAACACGTTTTCCCTTATGGAATTTTCATGTTTCACTCTCATTGGTTATCTCCCATCTCCTCACTTCTCCCCTTCACACCTTCCCTAGCTCACCTGTTCTGCTCTCCTCATCACGCCTTCCCTATCTCACCTGTTCTACTCTCCCCTTTCCTTGAAGCCTCTTTTTCCCATCTCATTATCCCCTTTCTTGTTTCCTGGAGATTACCCACATTTGCTCCCACCTAAATACACACACTTAATTAGAAGCCAAGGTCCAAATTAAGAACTTGCAGTTATTGTCTTCTGTGCCTGTTTTTACCTTACATAATACAGTGTTCTCCAGTTCCATTCATTTTCTTACAAATTTCATTAACTTTTCTTTATGGTGAAAAAAACTCCAGTGTATATATGCAACACATTTTCATTATCCACTCACCAGCAAAGACCACGTTTTCATGTGCTACCAGTTGTTTTCTTTTGAAAATTGTGTGTGTGTGTGTGTGTGTGTGTGTGTGTGTGTGTAATATATCCAGTCTTATCTATCACCTTCCTTTCCTCCCCCAGCCCACTTCTCCCTACCAACATCTCCCATCTCCCTCCAAACTTCTAGTCTTCTTCTTAGATAACTCACAAAGTCCAATTGGTGCTTCTCATATGGCTGTGAGGGAGGGGCATCTACTAGGGCATTGGCAATCACCCAATAGCCACCCCACCCTTCAAAGGAAAATGACTCTCCAGCCGGTCCCTCAGCAATCACCACGTGCCCTGGGCTCCTCAGCTAGGGTTATCTATTAGGAGCCCCTCCCCCTCCGTGCTGGAATTCTTAACTATTTGATAAAACGAGTGGGATTTCATAAGACTTCTTCATATATCCTTAATTTTGGTTAGCCCACACGCTACCTCTGATTTTCCCAACCTCCTTGCTCCCATCTCCATGTAAACCTTTAGCTCTCAGGATCCATGGCCCCATTCTTTTTGTTTGTTTGTTTGTTTGTTTTTGTTTTTTGTTTTTTTGTTTTTTTGTTTTTCGAAACAGGGTTTCTCTGTGTAGCTTTGGAGCCTATCCTGGCACTCGCTCTGGAGACCAGGCTGGCCTCGAACTCACAGAGATCCGCCTGCCTCTGCCTCCCGAGTGCTGAGATTAAAGGCGTGCACCACCAACGCCTGGCTCCGTGGCCCCATTCTTTCTCATGTGTGCTACTCTCCCATTTTATTAGAATGTATGCTTTAGTTCCCATGTAGCTTCTTCATGCACACTTCATTTTGCTTAACCCTTTCCCCCAGTCCTTGTTCCTTCAGCCCCATGGCTGCAATATCTACTTAAACTTTTCTGTGGCCAGTATTTTCCTTCTCTACTTTAATTCTGTAATCTATCCCCTCTTTGTAAGTGCATTCCCCATCCACTAGCCCATTGCTAGTTCCCAGACTTCCATATGTACTCCAGGATAAATACACAAAATACAATATTTGAAGCTAACAACCAACATATGAGAGAAAATACACAATTTTTGTCTTTCTGAGTTGGTGTTACCTCATTTTATATATTGCTTTCCAGATCCATCTGTTTTTTCTATGAACTTTATAATTTCTTTGTCTTTACAGTATGTCTCTCTTTAACAAACATGAATCTTAGTTGGGTTTCCTTTGCTATGATGAGCACCATGACCAAAGGCAACTTGAGGAAGAAAGAGTTTATTTCAGCTTCCAGTTGTTGCCCATCATGAAGAAAAGTCAGAGTAGGAACTCAAGACAGGAACTGAAGCAGAAACCATGGAGGAGTTCTGCCTACTGGCTTGTACTTCATGGCTTGCTCAACCTGCTTTCTTATTCAACTGAGATGTCTGCTCATAGGTGGCACTCTCCCCAGTGGGCTGCGCCATCCTATATCAGTCATTATTCAAGAAAATGCCCCATAGACTTGCTTACAGAAATATGATGGAAGCATTTTCTCAATTGAAGTTCATCTTCCCAGATAACTCTAGCTTGTGTCTAGTTGACAAGTCCCCCACCCCAGGACAACTGGCCCCTTGTTATTTGACCCACAAACATAATGCTATTGAACCGTGAAGTTTCTGTTCTCATTTATCTCCAAGATGTCATGTTAATATTAATATCATACTGTTAAACATAGTATAACTTTATAAGTCCCATAATATTTAAAGTCCAAAGTCTCTTTTAAAATCCAGTGTTTCTTTAAAAGTTCCATTTTTTAACTGTGCACTCCTATAAAATTCAAACTAAGCTAAATACTTTCATTTTCCAAGAGGGAAGAACCAGGGTACAGTCACAATCAAATAACAGCAAAACCAAAAGTAAGCAGTGTACAAAGTTCATTGTTTGAATGTGGGCCTCACTCATGATCCTCTGAGCTCCAAAGGGCCTGGACAACTTCCCTTCTCCAGCACATCTGATAGGCTTAGACTGGTCCTCGGCAGTCACCCCATGGTATTGCTGTCTCCAGTATTCTGGGGCCTCCACTACAACTAAAGCTGCACCTTCACCAATGGCCTCCCCAGACCTGTCTTTAGGGACTCCAGCCCTTCTACCCAGTGCCAAGCCTCAGCTACTTTCCATGACTCCTTTATGCCTTCAAAACTAGTACTACCTTCAGCTGCTAACCTGGGATGCAGCCTTGGCCCTCTCTGGACCATAGCTTCTGTCTGCTGACCCTGAGAAAATATTCCCAGAAGATTCACCTCCATTATGCCAGTCTCTTCTTAAGCACTGCCAGTTTCTCAGCTCCAGATAACCAGCATCAATTGTCCCATCAATACAAAGGTTTCACTTTAATGACGCTGGTCTTTTGTTAATCACACCTGATTCTTCATCTCCAGTTGACCAGAATCCCAGATTCTTGATTCAAAGTGTCACTCAAACATCCCTGATAGTCTTTGCTTCCCTTTGAAACATCATAAGCCAGACCTTTCCATCATCTGCATCCCTTTCATCATTCCTGTCACCCAAGTTCCTGTAACAACCCAGTAAAGCTATGAGCACTAAATGGTTTTTCCAGTCCAAAGTTTCAAAACCTTTCTACAATACTCACAAAAACAACATGGTCAGGTCGTCACAATAGCCCATGAACCTGGCAAAAATGTTTGTCTTTCTTAGGTTTCTATTGCTGTGATAAACACCATGACTGTATTAGTCAAGGTTCTCTAAAGGAACAGAAATGGTCGAGTTATATATGTGGAATTTACTAGAGTGGCTTAGGGGCTGCAGTCCAAGCAGTTCAAAAATAGCTGTCTTACATTGTAAAGGCCAATGATTCTGTAGTTGTTAAGTCCAGGAGACTGAACATCTCAGCAGTCCCAGTCTCATGATGGAGTCCCATGGAGGTGCTAGAGAGCTTCTGCTCTTCATTTTACATTGGAATCTCAAAGAAATAGGTTCTGTCACGAGCCAAGGCATGCCTCAGTCACAGGGTAGATGCACTTGCCCATGAAAGAGGGTAGAAGCAGGCAAAGAGCAAAAGCATCCTTTCCTTTTCCTTTTATATAGGCTGCCACCAGAAGGTGTGGCCCAGATTTAGGGAGATCTTCCCACTTCTAATGATCCAATCAAGAAAATCCTTCATTGGCATACTGAGGTTTACTTGGGTCTTAATTGATTCCAGATATAGTCAAGTTGACAACCAAAATTAGCTGTCAAAAATCACCAAAAACAACGTGGGTTATTTCAGCTTATATTTGTAGTTCATCATAAAGGGAAGTCAGGGCAGGAACCAGAAGGCAGGAACTGAAGCAGACGCCGTGGAGGAGAGCTGCTTATTAGCTTGTTTTTCATGGCTTGCTCAGCCTGCTTTCTTACACAACTCAGGACTGTCTGCAGGTGTCACCGCCCCCAGTGGGCTGGGCCTACCCACATTAATCATTAATCCCACACTATAAGCAATCTGATGGAAACATTTTCTCAGTTGAGGGTCCCCTTTCCAGGTAACGCTAGCTTGGGTCAAGCTGGAAAGAAAAAAAAACAGTACAAGATGGTGCATTGATTAACTTAATTTTAATGAGAACCCAATAATTATTTTATAAAGAGATAATAAATATTTTCCAAGAAAATAAGTATATCTTATATTTCAAAGAGGCAAGAAGAATGTCATAGGCTAAGAAAGCAAAAGCTTTAGTTTTTAACAGCTAGTGCAACACGGCTACTTACCTACCAAGCTAGAAAATTGAAGATCACAGGCAGGGGGATGGAATTTTGTACAATAGATCAAACTTTTAAAATAGATTTAAATATTGTCTACTAAAATAAGTTTTGTAATTATTATGTGATTTAACAGGCATGTCCTCCAAGTATGAATAATTTTTACAAGTAATTCTTTTTAATACAATTTTTCCTGCTGTGGAGGTGGTGGCCATCCCACTAAAGAAGGCTTTGCCCCATTGTTAAACACACAGTCTTAGTATATTAACATTTGTATGAAATACAATCACTAAGTTTTAATCACTAAGTTTAAAGTTTATTTTATAAAATGATAAAATAGAATATCTTTGTTCTCTGGGCCTTGTCTTTTTTAATTCTACTCAGCCATCAGTTTTAACTCAGGGTATTGAATTTTGACCTTAAGAATTTCTAATAATCTTTCATTATAGCCAATTTAGCCATACCAGTGTCATTTCTTTTTTAAGTTTAAAGCTTTACAACCTTTTTATTGAAAATATTTTAATAATATTTTTATTAAATCTTTGAGAATCTTATGCAAAATATTTTGATCCTAGTCACCCTTGCTCCCCTTATTTCTCCTAGGTCCACCCCAGGTCCCTGCCCAACCAAACTTCATGTCTTCTTTTTTAACCCATTGAGTCTAATTTGTGCTGCCCAAATATTCTTGGGTGTGAGGTCATCCCCTGGACCATGGTTGACTTAGAGGAATCATACCCTTAAAGAAAATGGACTCTCCCACCATCAGCTATCAGCTGCTAACAGTTCCTCAGCTAGAGGTAGAAACTTGTGCCAAACTCTCTTCTCCATGCTGGAGTTTTTCTGGCTTGAACTTCTGCAGGTCTTGGGCATGTTGTCACAACTGCTTTAAGTTAATATATACAACTGTCCTGTTGTGTCCATAAAACAGTTTCATTGAGGTCATCCACTGCCTCTCACTCTTAATTTTTCTGCCCCTCTTCTAGGTTTATTCCTGAGCTTTGGAAAGTATGTGTTATGAAATAGGAGTAATTAAATGGTGTAGAGGCATTTGCAGGGTCGAGGGGGGATTGTGGGGAGGGGAGAATTAACACTAAAGGCCTTTTGAAAAGGTCATATGGAAACTCCTGGCGGTAGAAGATTCTTAAATACATAATATGCACATGTGGGAATAGTTTAAATGGAGTTACCCTATAGCAGGAACAATGCTCCTACTAGACACCGCAACATACCAAATTAAGAATCTAGTACCAGGAATAGGTTACCTCTTTTGGACCTGTTGGCCAACGGGGTCCCATAAACCCCCAAACATTGCCATTATTGCCATTATTCTTAGTTACCCTTCAGAACTTGATGGTAAGACCCTACTGCTGAAGGTACCACATACTTAAGTCATAGAACCTGGAGAAATCAAACTGACCTGGAAGCTTTGTCCCTACTGGCTAGCTTTCATGGTTCTGGAAAGTGCTGTACATGCTACCAGAGGAGAGAAGTAATCACTGATCTTTCCAAGCTGTGACCCACTATGAGATAAAATAATGGCTGTCCTGGCAGCATTAGCCCACTGGTGCAAATAGTGACATGAATGTCACTGGAATCAGCCAACCAAAAACAAAACAACCCTTCACCTTTGTCATCTGCAGAGAAGGGAACACTGCTAGTCTCTTCACATCAAAGAATGTAATCTAACATCCCCTGATTATTAGATAAACCCTTTTGGCAAGCAACAACAGATCCCAAACTGTCACAAACCCATGGCTAAGAATGCCATCAGGTGACAGCAAAGACAGAGGTTTTCCCACTTGGCTATAACCCACCTACTTGATGTTTTCACCAATGTGCTTGAATATGCCTCAATTTATATGAAAATTTAAAGGAAAACACAGGAAGTTGAAACACGTGTGAACGGTTCTGGAGATATTTTCCTCAAAAAACTGAAATTATTTGTTAAAGATTTAAGCCTTCTTATAATAAGCTTTTAGAAATTGTCTCTGCCTAAAAAGCATTGGCTTGTCATTTAGGTCTGCATGGCAACTGGAAGGCAGCATCATAGTGAGGCATTTTGTCTCCATCCTTTTTATCACTTTTACTTTATATCATTTGCTTACCTTTGCAGTAAAGATTTTAATCACTTAACAAGTGTTTTATTTAAAGTGTTTTCTCCTTTTTTGTATTTTCTCCTTCTTTAAACCAGGAGTCATAGTAATATAATGCAAAAGAAAAATTATATTTATGTTGCAATGGAACATATTAGGATCATCTGTAAATCTTAAGATGCCATTGTCTACCTTTAAGTAGGTTAATCAGTTTTTTAAGTGACAGTTTTGTTTTGTTTTGTTCTTCATAGTTTTAGTGTTGTCTCATACCTAGGCATGGCTAGATAAGGGCCTTGAATTATGTTTTTCAAGTGACAACAGCAGTTAAAAATATTTTTAAAATGTCCACATTTCTATACATACAAGTCTTAAAACTAAGCATATACCAAGAATAGCACTTTCTAACTTCTTGAAAGCTATATAAATGAAGTAGCCACAGATTTTGTTCAGTTTTCTTTTCTTGTGACACATAAAGACAATTGCAAGAAAATAATTACCATAAACAAACACAACACAGCCAGGTGTGCTTTTTAGTAGAAACCAGATAAGAAATTTATATCTCAAAGACATAAGTACACTGACCAGAGTAGATCGAGGGATAAATGATTTACTTCAGTTCACAGTTCAAGGGTACAGTACTTGAACTGTGAACAAGTTCTGTACTGGCAGCAAAGTCAACCAGCAAGAGCTTGAAGCTGTTGGTCACATGACAGTAAGAAATCAGAGAGTGAAGAATGCTTGTGTTCAGCTAGCTGTCTCCTTTCTGTGCAGATCTACCCAAGCCCAGGGAACGTTGCTGCCCAAATGTTAGTGTAGGGTTTCCCACCTCAATCAACCTAATCAGTATAACCTCTCACAGGCATGCCCAGAAGCTAAATAATCCCTCATAAGTGTGCCCAGAGGATGTCTCCTAGGTGATTTCAGATCCTGTGAAGTGATAGTCCACATTAATCATCACCTAAAGGAAAGATAAAAATGGGTGTGATTCAAAGGTAGGGTTAAGGCAAGGAAGAAGCCATTTTTCTGAGGTAACATTGCTTGGTCTTTCCACCATCCAGATAGGAGTTTGAAGGGGCTTGTATCTCTGTCATCAGAGAGTCCTAGGAGCCCTTGGTATTCTGAGATCCATCAACGTGACTCTGGAAAGTCAGCTGGGCTCTGGAAGCCTGCATGGGATCTGCCCACTCTGCTTGTGTGTGGGGATCCAGGGAATGGCTCAAGGCTGCTTAGACTGAAACCTGACCCCCTTCCCATTCCTTCTTCCCATTGCAGCATGTAGTTCAGTGTGTGTTTGTGGCCATCCGGACCATAGGGAACATTGTGATTGTCACCACCCTGCTGCAGTTCATGTTCGCCTGCATTGGGGTCCAGCTCTTCAAGGTAAAGTCCTGCCTCCTTCCTCTCTCGTCAGCAATCCCAGGGAAGGGAGCCAGCAGATCCAAGAGGGGACAGCAGTCTCCGTCAGGTGTACAGAATAGTGTGACCTCTGACCACAGCCTATCAGACCTGAGGCAGTGTGACCTCAGACTACAACCTATCAGACCTGAGGCAGTGTGACCTCTGACCACAACTGACTTGAGCTTTCCTGACCAAAAGAGTAGAGGAAAATCGGCTCTGCCTCTCCCAGCTAAAAGCCTCTGTGTCACCCTTCAGTTAGCTGCCCTTCTTCCCAGATGACTTTTACCCTCTGGTACCTCTCTGTCAGTCCTTGGCTTAAAGCTCACAGCAGTTACTAACTAGTAACAGTACCATGCCAACATTACACCACCCAGCTGGAGGCCAGAGGCCTGGCTGGTTTCTTCTTTTTCTGTTACCATCTCTTTAGTTCTGCTCTTCTGTCACAGGAAGCACTCTTTCTCTTTCCCTCACCCCCCACCCTGCTGTTTAAATTTCCTCCCATAAACTCCCTCCAAGCACAGATCCCCTTCTTTCTTACCCTCGAGACCTTCCTAGAGAGCAGAGCCTTCAAAGGCTGATGCTCCCTGCTTTTGAATTTGAGCACTCTCGGCTCTGACTGTGAGTCATGTCCTCTGCATCTGGACTCTGTCCATCTTTCACCTGTTATTCCCGAGGCTCAAACTCAGGACTGCGCTCCAGACATAGTCATTGATCCTCTTCTGCCGGATCCACCCTTGAGGAGCGTCTCTAATCACTTCCTTCTTCTCTTCTAGGGAAAGCTCTATACCTGTTCGGATAGTTCCAAACAGACCGAGGCAGAATGCAAGTGAGTTCAAGCTAGCAGGCTCCCAGAGCCAGGGCTGGTTAACTCTGGGGAGGTGGTGGCTGGGTTAGAAAGAAGTGGCATGTGTCCTCTCGCCCATCTCATTACCTGACCTTAGTTTTGTGACATGTGATGTTATTCCTCAGAGTTCAAGCCACTGATTCTTCTGATGGCTGGGATAATGTGGTTGTATACTTACTACCCAGCATGCCAGGAATTATTGGTGGTAGAGCTAAGGGACATCCTGTGGTTACCTTTCTCTTCCTTTCTCAGGGGTAACTATATCACATACAAAGATGGAGAGGTTGACCACCCCATTATCCAACCTCGAAGCTGGGAGAACAGCAAGTTTGACTTTGACAATGTTCTGGCAGCCATGATGGCCCTTTTCACCGTCTCCACCTTTGAGGGGTGGCCAGAGTGAGTATGAATATCAACCTGACACTAGAGAGTCGAGACACTGGCTGTCCAGTTATTATCCAAGGTCTTATACCTTTCCTGAATTCTTCCCAGAGGTCAGAGCTGTGTTGTCCCCAAGCAGTGAGAATGTTTCTAGAACTTCTGTAGAACTTGATCACTACAGGAACACAGACTTTTAGCTGGGCATTGTGGTGCACACCTTTAATCCCAGAACTGGGGAGCCAGAAGTGGGCAGATATTTGTGAGTCTGAGGCTAGCCTAGTCTATGTAGTGAGTTCCAGACCAGCCAAAACTACATAGTGAGACCCTGTCTCAAAAACAAAAACAAACTCTTATAAGAGATATTATTGGGGAAGAAAGATTCTGAGGATTTCACTGAGGGCCTTGTGCATGTTATGTACAAGTGCTGTTCCACTCAGTACACCTGCAGCATTTTAGAAACCCCAACCAAAAATGGATACCTTTTAACTCCTTTCCCCAAGCTCAGTGTGAGTCACAAGATTGGGAATCCCTGCATTTTCTTTATGGCATTTCAGAGTCAAATACAGAGAGAATTTCTCTGGTGTAAACCTTTGATTACCACGGAGTTCCAGTGTACCACTCCCCACATGCAGCTGACACGGGTGAAGGTAGCCAACATGTCTGTCTAGTTAGACCCTGAACTAGTCTCCTTGGAGAAAGCCTTAAAATTGATACTGTCAAATAAAAAAGAGACAAAAGCCAGGAGCCCAATCCTTCTGCAGATGTGATATTTTCCCTACTAGACCAGCTCATTGGTCCTCACACAGCATTGCTTGTAGCAGGCTGGTCCATCTAGTATTCTTTGTATCTTGGTTTAAACATCTATGTCCCCATCTAACGGTGCATAGATAGGATTTGTCATTATTATATGACAATCTATAAGTGATATATAATGAGAGAACATATATATATGAGAATAGCCATATGCTGGGGAAATTACACGAGAAGAAGAAGGAATCATCCTGGTCCATGAAGAACAAGCTCAGTTGGTCCCATAGCCCAAACTGAAATGAATGGCACATATATATATATGTGTGTGTGTGTGTGTGTGTGTGTGTGTGTGTGTGTGTGTGATCTAAACCACTGTAGATGATGTGGCTAATCTAGAGTCATGCCACTTTTACTTTATCTAAATGAATGTTTTTATCTCTCCGATTTACTTTTTCTTTGGCCTCACCTCCTTTGGTCCATGCCAGTTCACAAAGCTGTTTCAATATTTACCAATATTTCTGTATTTGAAATTGATGTCAACGGTGAATGTTGCAGCTCAACAGCTCTTGACAGTTTCCAAACACTGTGTATATATTATATCAGCTGCTCTGTAAGATAGGAGAGTAGAGAATTACCGTTTCCACTCGACAGTTGTGGACTCAGTGCCAAAGAGATTCATTGGTTTGCCTGGATGGGACTTGAGCCCTGTCCCTCTGGCCCCAGCCTGGAGCTGTTTCCTTTGATTGCAGGGACCCCTGGGAGCAGTGGTGCCATCATCTCATGGCGGTGACACTGCTTCTCCAGTTCACTCTGTGAGCCTGTCTCCTCCTGTAGGCTGCTGTACCGCTCCATCGACTCCCACACAGAAGACAAGGGCCCCATCTACAACTACCGCGTGGAGATCTCCATCTTCTTCATCATCTACATCATCATCATTGCCTTCTTCATGATGAACATCTTCGTGGGTTTCGTCATTGTCACCTTCCAGGAGCAGGGGGAGCAAGAGTACAAGAACTGTGAGCTGGACAAGAACCAGGTAGCTTTCTGGGAAGGAGAGGAGGAAAGCAGGACCCACATAAGGAAGGGCAGAAGGTGGCTGTCCTAGACCCACTCAGAAGAGAGCCTAGGGTATTTAGAGAGATGTGTGTGGATGCCAAGGTCCTCTGTCCTCTGTCATCCAACAGAACAGGGTTTTTGTCCCAGCTTTCTGTGGCAGAAATGTGGATCTCACATTCCTCAGACCTGACAGATATTAAGTCCTCACAAATCCCAGGTCTGGAAAATGTGCTCAATCAGCAAATATTTAATTTATGTCCTATCCAAAAATCGGGAAGTTATTCTATGCTCAGGTGTGATGGGACCATTGACAAAGGAGAGAGAAACCAGACAATGTGGGAAAGAGAGAGCTTGGGATGGCCAAGAGGACAGACTTAGGAAAACTCTTAGATGGCTTTTCAAGCAAAACAGAGGTCTGAGCAGGGGTTGAGAGAAGAGAATCTTAATGGGGAATGACATGGTGACACCAAGGTCTAGAGTATGTTCTGTTAGCTTATGGGAAAGGGCTAGCCACTCCCTCAGCGAATAATGCACTGTCAGGGATGGACATCGGTGTGGAAACTCAGCTCCCTTTGCACTCCCAGTGGAAACATGTTCTGAATAAAGCCACCTCATGGAGACACAGCCCAGGGTGCCCAGCTCTGTGCATGGCAGGAAAGCTGGACCCCTTGTCAGCTTTGATATCTGCTACTTAACAGATATCAACATTTAGATTCAACATTTGGGCTACTTTGTGTTGCAAGAAAGACAGGGAGGGAAGCCAACTGGCAAGTGCAGATGAGGCATATTGAGAACCTGACCTAACAGCAGTGAATTGTGGTAATGATGTAAAAGCAGGAGGTCAGATTGGCAAGGCTTGGGGACTAAGCATGGAGGCCAAGGGTCAAACAGGCTGGAGTGGCTTTCTGCTTCCTGATTTAGAGATTTGGGTGCTGTGCATAGAGACTGCCTGACATTTTCTGTATTCCCAAGATTCTAGTTAGAACAAGAGTTCCTTTCTTGATAGTTCTTTGTCTTACAATCTGGTAGATACTCAACAATAAGGAAAAGGATTTAGGATAGAAAAAAACAAATTAGGCAAGAGATGTCCCATGAAGAATCTGGTGTGGGGTATAACCAATGAGCCAGTCAGTATTTATGAGGTGCCAAGCACTTGCTGAGCAATGCACCAATCATTACCAGTTGGAGAAAAGGAACTGAGCTCATTGCTTGCAATCTGGATAAGATTTGATGGAAGGGGCCTCTGTCCTTGAGCCTCTGTCCTTGATAGGGATGCCAGAAAAATCAGAAGCATTCTTCACATTAGATGCCACAGCTGTGAGTAGAGCCCGAGGACACAGTTTCACATGCATCCTACCTTTTATTGTCACACACACTACATCATCCCCACTCTTCCTCCATGAGCCTTCACTCCTCCTTCTTCCCTTCCAGAGACAATGTGTAGAATATGCCCTCAAGGCCCGACCTTTACGAAGGTACATCCCCAAGAACCAGCACCAGTATAAAGTGTGGTACGTGGTCAACTCTACCTACTTCGAGTATCTGATGTTCGTCCTTATCCTGCTCAACACCATCTGCCTGGCCATGCAGGTCAGTCTATGACTGGGGTGCTGGACTAGGGGAAATGCTGGGGAAGGACGTAGTAGATAGAAGGAACCACAAGGCCAGGTCAAGTGGTCACATGCCTGTGGCTGGGAAAGTCAGAGAGACAGAAGAGTAAGAGAAAGACAAGTATCCCTTCTCAGGGATGGGGTTCCTCTGAAACCTAATGGAAGAATCCCTGGGGCCCTGGATTTATAACAGAATAGAGGAGGTAGGGAACCGAGAAAATAACCCTGGAGTCATCGTCTTAAGCATGGGATGTGGAGGTGGACTCAACACCCCTACCTCCAAGGAAGTCAGTTTGTCCCAGTGCTCTCAAGTACCAGAAACATCCAGAAGTCATCATGCCCGATCATCACGAAGTCAGATCTCTGCCTCCCCAGTTATCAGAGATGGTAGGAAAGGCAAGAGCTTGCAGTATGGCCAGAGTCCACCTGCCTGCCCAAGGCATAGTGGGCAACCTTCTGAGGATGGCTCAAGGAAGATCTCTCTAGACATGGGGCATATGAGAAAGCTGGAAAAAGCTGAGCCAGAGGACTTCAGCCTCATGTTCAAGGTCTTCCCCTTCCCTCCACTTAGCATTATGGCCAGAGCTGCCTCTTCAAAATTGCCATGAATATACTCAACATGCTTTTCACTGGCCTCTTCACGGTGGAGATGATCCTGAAGCTCATTGCCTTCAAACCCAAGGTAGGCCTCTGAGAACAAGCTGTCTGATGGGATAGGGGAGGGTATGTGTCCATGGGATAAGGGATGTGAAGGGAGAACTTGCCAGTGAAGGGTCATCCCTTCTCTGAAGAGCGCTCTAAAAGCTACACTGGCCAAGAGGTGAACCAGGCCAACTCCTTGAAATATAAACTTACCTTGTAGTCTTGTCCATGACTGGGATGAACAGAAAGTAGCTGAGCTGAGGTCTTTCCATGAGCTAAACTACAACCCTTCCCCTCCCATTCCCCACAACCTGGCAAGCCAAACTTCTCCCGGCACAGCCCCTCAGATCTAGGAAGGTCCCCGACATGCCCCTGTTCCATTCCATGTGTCATGCAGAAGTGATTGTGAGAAGGCCAGGCTGGGCTACTTTTGCTCAGGGCCCAGCACCCCATGCCATGCACGCATGCTCAGAGACATTGCCATTGCTCCCTTTGTCCTCCAGCACAGGAAGAGCAGTTGCCTGCATATTTTCCTGTCACTTCTTGCAAACAGCATCTCATCAAAAAAGAAGGGCTAGCACTGTCTGAATGAGGTGGGGCTGACAAAGCTGACTGCCTGTCATTCTCCTACCAGCCCCGCCCATTGTCCCAGGTGACACCAGAGCAGGCTTGAAGAAGTAGTGCCTGTAGTCCTTGACCTTCACAAAAGTCCAGAGTCTCTGATATTCACTGACCCGTGACTGGCAGCTGCTTTAGAGGGCAGCTATAACAGCAGCTCAATAACTACTGTGGCCACCCTAACATGTCTTGGAGAGTGGTGAAAAGTACATGGCTGGAGAATTACATTTAGAGATTTGAAACATTAACCAATTTTCCAAGCTTCCCCACCACCATCAACACCACCAGCAGCAGCAACTTTACCAGGTACAACACAGAACAGCAGGGGTCAAGTCAAAAAATCAGGACAAAAAGACAAGTCTTCAGCTATATCATGTTTAAATTTTGACAACGTACCCAGAACCAACTACACAATTATTAAGGGAAGGAGCTAGTGTGCTCTCTGTCACATGGAGCTGTTCACAAGGGTGTGTCCTTGGCAAGAGCTCTGCTGGATACTTTTCAGAGAGAGCAGAGACACTTTGAGTCACTTAGGGATAGTACATTCAGTATTCATAAACACTGCCTCTTCTTTTCAACCACAGGACACCTAGGGACCTTGAATACTAAGACTCCTAATGAGCCTCTTTTGGTGCAGCCATAATAATGGTGTTTCCCTGCCTCCAAGAAGGAAATACATATTTTGTCATATTTCTTTCCAAGTTTAGACCCATTAAGGGATAATTGATGTCTTGGCCTAAAAAAGACTACCAAGTTTTGTTGTGACTCCCTTCTCTGGGGCCCACAAGCATTGCCACCCACATGTTGCCCTATTCCAGGTTCCATGCCTTAGAATACAAAAGCATCACCAGAGCATCCTTAGCCAAGCCAGGAGAGCAGGATTGCTGGGCTTTACCCTCAGTTTTCAACACACGACTTAAATATTTAGTCTTCAATCACCCCACAGTGGAATCAGCCATGTTCCTTGTGTCTGAGGCCATCTCAGAGCCCTGCTGACCCATGTCTCTGTAACATTAAGCCATCTGCCCTGTGAAGCCCATGAGATTGGCATCTTCTGGTACCTTGAACTGAAACATACATTAGGTATATCCTACAGATGAAAAGCAAGCATGTTCATAAGACATAACCAACCAGGATGACCTAAACCATAAAGGGTTTCCTACTTTCTTCACTACCTGGTTTTCTGTAATGAGAACATGGGGTAAAATATGAGAAACTTTTCCTGGGTATAGAAGAGGGGCATCTCACATAGCAAGAGTCACTCTTTGTCTTCAGAGGATGGCAAGGGCATCTCGTCTATTAATTTCTCAAAAGGGACACCTGACAATAGAAGAGTGAAGACTATTCATGTGGGTGACCAAAGGCAGTTGACTAGTGAATTGAGAAGAAGATGAAGGGGTGACTGGTCCCTCTACAGCCTCATTAACTGTATTCTTCACTGACAAACAGACTAGAAAAATTTCCCTTGAAATTTTCAGAGAGAATACCAGGCAGAAACCCTCATAATTCTGGTAGAAATATCTACCTGGAGTTTACCCACGAACAGTGGAGTAGCTTCTAACAGACCTGCAATACTAATGGCTTCTGGACTTTATTTTCACCAGTTGCTCATGTATGGTATGAGTTCCCTGTGAAAGAACAGTTAGCAAGAATGTAGAAGGTGGATGTGTTAGCCATCCTGGCATTATAATTGTAAAATGCCTGCAGCATTTATAGTTTTGAAGATTTGAGTGCAAGGTGCTTCCATCAACACATTCCAGGGAAGGTGGTAGGTAGTGGCACATCATAACAGGGTTGTGTATAGGAGCAATTCAGTCACATTTGTAACCAGGAATCAGAGCAAATGTGCAAGCTAGAATCCTACAATCCTCAAAGAGCAGACCCTCAGTGACTTCCCTTCTCTTCCTTCCTTCCCTTCCCTTCCCACCTTCCCTTCCCTTCCTTCCTTCCCTTCCCTTCCTTTTTTCCTTCCTTCCTTCCTTCCTTCCTTCCTTCCTTCCCTTCCCTTCCTTTTTTCCTTCCTTCCTTCCTTCCTTCCTTCCTTCCTTCCTTCCTTCCACTAGGCTCCATTTTCTGAAAGTTCCTCCCTTCCCCCAATAACATCAGTCCAAGGACCAAGCTTTTAACACATGATCCTTTGGACACTTAACATCCAAACCACAGCATTGGCATTACCCATAGTCAGGGCTATATCATCTGGAGGTGTCCCTGATTTAGTCTTCCTTGCCATATCTGATTGGTTGACTGATCTATCAGTTCGGCTCTGTTTCTTTTTTCCATTGTCTCTACAGTGATGGATGCTTATGAGCTTTTCATTCATATCTGTTTTCTTCACTACTCAATATGGAATAAGTTTCCTCAAGAAAATCAATATGGAATAAGTTTCCTCAAGAAAATCTCTGCCTGAATCCAACTGCCCAACTCCCTAAATCCATACTTTGTTCATACAAAAAATTCACGGAAATATGAGATATTAATATAAACAAGTTTAAAGACCTTCTGTTTCTCAGACAACCTGGAGAAAGCAGAAGTGATCTAGGGAAAGGATAGGTGAATGCCAAAGGAATCCTGTCCTTAGGTGTAGGGAAAACAGGCTAAAGAAACCGGGATGATCCTTGTGGTTCTACATGAATATGCAGATGCAACTTGGAGGAAAGGTTTGGTTGGAATGTCCAGAGGTTAACTAAATAGTTGTTTAATTATATGATAGATTGTATTTCTATCATGACCTGAAATATGTCAGTAATTACAGAAAAAAATTAAGAAAACTTTTATGATAGATGCTAAAAATGTCCAGTGTCTAAAAATAAATATAACAAAAAGAAAACTAAAATTTTATAGCAAGGATTAAAGAGAAGCTAATAACTGAAGAGATGAATTCTCAGACTGGAAAAGTCTCCATTGCTAAAACATTATTTCTTCTCAAGTTGGTCCCTAGATTCAGCACAAGCCCAATTAAAATTCCTAAGGAGCCCTTCCCCAGCAAGAGAAGCAGAAGTGAGGGAGCCACACAGCAGACTCCAGGGAGTTGTTAGGATGAGCCTTGGAGTTCAAGGGTTCTGTTCATGTTGGCAGCTCTGACCTGACTGTGGAGGGCAACACAGGACCTGCTGAAGGGTGGTGTAACCACAGACATGGCACTCTTAGCAAGAGGACTATTGTCTTAGATAATGTCATCACTTAAATCCCTAGGCTTTGCTGTCAACAAAGGTTTATCAAGAACAACAAAATGAAGAGTTGATGAGTCTGAGGCTGCACACTCCTCCCAGCACAGTAGGTCTAGGACATCAGGGGTCAAGGCTGTCCCTAATGGGAGGTGTTTAACCTCTCTGCTTCATAGTTTTCTCAGTAAGACTGAAACTCACTTTACCCTCCATGACTAGAGGCATTCCGGTGGGGGCTGTTTTCTCCTGGGAAGCCCCGGGGCACTGAGTAGGGAGTTCTGGGACTGGTGTATTGGTTAGTTAGTGAGGAATAGCCTGGTGAGGGCTCAGAGCATGAGTTGTCTGCCAGAGCCCAGCAGTACAGAGTGGTGTCAGCACTGTGCTGATATCATCTGACAGTGAATCAGCTGTGAGGATGAAGACAACGAATGAAAGATGGCTCAAAGTGTCCTGGCCTGTCCCTCCGGGAATGGACTGGTGCTACAGTTCACTGAAATTGAGGAGAGCAGGGAGAAGCCAGCCTGAAGGGGATCTGGAGATGTATTGGGTTTTAAAAGCTGTTAAAAATCTGGAACAGGCAGTCTGGGCAAGAGATCTATTTTAGGAGTCAGTACTACATATGGCCTGCCTAAGTAGAAGTTCCAAGAGAGCTGTCCTGGAGCCTCCTCGTCCCAGAATGTGGATGTTAAGCTCACAAACAGGTGAGGGGGAGAGAAAAAGGGAGAATGAAAGGGGAGAGGGGGTCTGGAGGCTAGGAGCTGGGAGAGCCACTGTCTCTCAGGCTAATGGGCTGTGTGAGTGAGCCAGCTACAGAGAAGAAAGGGAGGATGAACAGAGAGCCTGGTGGCTGCCCTGCTAATCCAGGGGAGCAGAAGGGGATCCTAGATGTACTAGTCCCCCTCTGTGAGTGATGCAGAGGACTGTATTCCTTCAAAGTCACATTGATCTAGAAAATACAATTTAAATAACTTCAGGAGTAAGTAAAAATATTTCCTCTTAAAACTTGTATGGAAGCTGGACAGAGGTGGCACACGTCCTTTGATCCCAGCACTTGGGAGGCAGAGGCAGGCGGATCTCTGTGAGTTCGAGGCCAGCCTGATCAACAAAGCTACAAATAGAAACCCTGTCTTGAAAAACCAGAAAGAAAGAAAGAAAGAAAGAAAGAAAGAAAGAAAGAAAGAAACTTGTACAGAAAGTTAGCCATCCTTTTTAGGTCTTGGATCCTTTCTAGACCCACAAGCCCCCATTTCATGATAAATATCCTGTAATGTCTTTTTAATTCGCAAACATTCACACTATTCATAAAAATGTTGAAAATACACAATCTCTTAGCCATAACGCAAGTGAAAAGGTTGTGTGTGGTAAAAGATTCATTCCCCTCAAAAGCTGAAGACAACAGAAGAGCAAAGGCTTAGGACCTTAGAGTAAAAACTGAAGTTGCATGTGCCTCTGGGAAGTCCTGTGGCTATATCACTAGTAAGGCTCAGCTGTCCCACACATCAGGATATTTGGTGTCCCTGTTCCCACCCGCTAAATCCAAAAAGCTGACCTGGCTTCCAGGACCCACTCTGTAGCTCTACCCGTTTCCACAGTGCCCCCTGGAGGCCAATGAGTGGGACAAAGAGCAACTAAATTCAGCCTCTTAACTGAATTTAGTTGAAATCTGTTCACCCAGTTACTAAAAATCACAATGTCTTTCGCTGTCAGTGGAACCAATGGGCCCACAGACTCGCCACACATGTCACTTAAAGGAATAGAAATAGAAAGGTGGAGGGAGGAGGGCACTGTATATGACAAGCCACCACCCCTCCCACTCCCCCTGGCCTCATTAGGAGAGCCCAGGGACCTGTGGGTGTGCAGCCAGCCCCTGCTTGCTTTCTAGCAGCTGATTGGTAAGAAGGCATTCCCCTGATTATTGTTTATTTACGTGTGCCCACGGACACCTGGTGTGCACAGTGCCCAGCAGACAGGCACAAATGGCCTCCTCTGGAGGGACCTCCTCGCCACAGCTCTTGTACCCAGAGATTTGCATATTGTTGCAACATTGTGACAGGTTTCTTTCCTGCATGGTGCTTTCACCATGAATGATAAAAAGTAATTATATGACTTACATAAAGCCTTAGTGTGGGAAGGGAAGTATTAGCTATTACATTTAATTATTTAATGTGGAGAAGTATTCACACTGTGTAAAAGCCCAGTGGGAAAGTACACTGTGGTTCCCTGTCTCTGATCCTGCCACTGGAAAAGAAACTGAACACACGAGTAGAGGGATTCCCAAGCCTAGGAGGTGCTGAGGCTTGAAGTCAACCTACACAAAACCTGCCTGGGTGGCCACAGACTACCGTATTCTCCTGGGCAGGAAGGGCCTTCTATAATGCTGGAGCCACCAGGAAGTGAGGCAGTAATGGCAGGAAAGTGGGCATTGAGCACTTCCTCAGAACCAGACCTTGCAGGTACTTCCCGTGCATAACACCGCACAAACTGCACATACCCACAGAGACAATGTGCAGTTGTTATTGCCACGTAAGGAAGCTGAGCCACAGAGGCTAGACAGCTTGCTCACGGCTGTCCAGAGTCGCCTCTGAGAGTGAAAGCGGCCCACCATTTCATTTGTGTCTTATTACAAATGTGAGGCAGGTGACTGAATCAAATAACCTCTATTGAATCATACCTGTAAAATCAGGCAGACTCGGGGCCTGGGACCAACGGACAGTAGGTGGGGCTGGGGAGCGGAGAAGGGTATTAAGCAGGAAGAAGCACGTCATGGCCAGGTTTTGAAAGCTTCCCCAGAGCCTTGCCATCACACTGTTTAGAGAGCTGCAGCAGGACCAGGCTCTTTCCCTCCCTCTCAGAAAAGGCAGCCTGCTCTTCCTTGTTACACCACTCCCATTGCTGCCAGGTCCTCTTAGTCATGGGCTATAGGGCATTGTGAGCTCAACCCTGAAGCTGTTTGCCATGCCTGGCTCCAGGGATACAGCCTCTAGCACCCTAACCTGAGAGGAGTCTTTTGCATCAATCTGTTCATCTATTGTAGTATTGCAGGGAGATGCAGCTATGGGATCACCCAGTCTACCTAGTACAACTAAGGCAACTAAGGCAGAAAAATCTCCTGAGACCCCAAAAGGAACTTAGGTCATAGTTCCCAATTCTACCTGCTTCAGGAGGTAGACTCATTTAGGTCCACGGACTAGATCCAGCCTTGCATACTTCTATGCTCCCGGTAGCCCTCATTGCATGTTGATGAGATAAATGAATGAATGCCTTCAATTTGTTCCAGTGGAACTCCAGAGCAGAAGGTGTCTATGAAAAGCACACATCCCCAGGTCTGTATTCCTCCAGCCATCCTTGGAGTACCACATCAGCGTCCCAGTGAGGACATCTTCAGGGCAACGTCCCAACCCTGGCCTGCTCTTGCCCAATGGCCTCCAGTAGCCAGCTTTCTGTGGGAAGCTGTCCAGAGCTTCTGAATTAGCAGGCTACAGAACAGGCCTGACAGAAAAGCTGAAATCCTCACTGCCTCTCAGGCTGTAGGCCATGAGCAGCTGTGTGCTCTGTTACGCCTTCGCCACTAGATGCCACTAATCTCCGTGATTAGTTATATCTAAGTGGCACCCTAATGTAATGCGATTTATATTATCTCTGCTTGGTGTCAGTTAACCATTGATTCCATGATATTCCATAATATCATCTCTTCACAGACACAGTGAGGCTTCGCCACGGTCACTGCCGTGTCTGGCTGGATTCAGCACCTCCCCCAAGTTCATCTAGTTTGTTACCTCTCAGCTCCACAGCTCAGGACCCAGAAAAACCATTCCTTCCAGGAACTAGGTTCAGCATTCCGTCATGCCTGTCCCCTCCACACCAACTCACAGCCTGTGCTGCTGGTCAACCTCATGTCTGACAGCTTTCTTCAGACATTTGCTCCCCCAAACCAGGACTCTCCACTGTTTGGGACCCCATGCTCTAGACTGGGTATAGGCCACTTTGGTCTCTCTCCCTTTAAACCCTGCTCTGCACGGAGGGTTTGGCCACTCCCACTGGTTTCATGTTGACTCATGTGTCTTTTCCCTGCCAGAATTGTGTGGCCAGTCCAGAGTTCTATACTTTGGCTACTTCACATCCAGGCCTCTCCCTCCTCTTCCTCTTCCTTTTTCCTCCTTTCTCTTTTTCCTTTTCCCTGTTCCCCGTTTCCTGCCATCCATGTGTTCTGTATCTCCCCGCCCTGCATAGTCTCCCTTCCCCCACCTACCTTAAGTGACCGTTTTCACTCACACCACACCAGCTCTTGCTTTTCACATTATTTCTACCATCTCCATTCCATGGCATTGAGTCCTCCCTTCTCTGTTTTTGTTTGAGGGTTTTTGGTGGTTTTTTTTTTTTTGTAGTTTCTTTTTTTAACTTTTCACTTCTCTGTGTCAACAGTCTCACTTCTAATCTCAGCTCAGATCTCCCAAAGCTCTCCTGTGCTCTAGTGGCCTGGAACGGAGCAGTCCTGGGTCAGTGTCCCTGAAGAGACACTGTGTCATCCCCTTTCATGGCAGGTAGCAAGAAGGTCCTGGCTTCCTCTTTGCTTCTTCGCTTGGCTTTGCCAGACCCATATAAGGTAAATGATGAGGGTGGGCAGGAAGGAACATAGAAGACAAAAATAACAAAGAATAGAAAGGACATAATTTTTACCTTAAAATTCCTAAGGATGAGTAACATAACCCTGGCATACCAATGAAAGTATGTATAGAGCTTTTGTGGCTTCCTACATTCCACCACCTGATGTGGTGCTCCTGGCAGATTGGTGCTCCTGGCAGAGGAGGCTTCTGCTCTGGGTAGAAGAGAAACAGAATCCAGAATCCTGCAAAGGTGTGTCCCTACAACCTCTTCTGCAGTGATCTTACTCTCTGCGTCAGAGATGAAGGCCCACCCCCAGCACAGCACTCCTTTCACCCAGCCTTCTAGCCCAAGGAAGACCATGTCTCCTCTGGTTTGAATAGTTGCTTTTTAAACATTTAACAGTGAACTATCTATATGAACTAGAGTCTGATGGAAATTAAACCATGACAAGCTGTATGCTGTCATGGTGTCAACAGTGCCAGCCTGATTACACTCAAGAGCATCTAAAGACTAGCAGAAAGGGCCTTGGCAAGCCCAAGAATCTTCATCTTCTTTCCTCCTCTGCTCCATGCTTTGCTTCTCAGTGCCTGGTTTTGATTTTCCCTTTGTTCAGTCCCACAAGAAACCTGAGCTGTAGATGCTGCTTAACAATGAGGTGAGCACATTGACTCTAGCTAATGATGACCGTTGCTAATAGGAATTTAGAGCTCCCTCCAGATTAGGCGCAGGTCTAAAGTATTGTGTATGTGTGAGTTGGACATTTAGAAGTAGGGACCTGGTGGAAGATAGGTCCTCGAAGGAATGTCTTTGAAGTGTAGAAACCCTTTCTGTTTTCCTTTGCTTGACCAATGTCTTAGTTAGGGTTTCTATTGCTGTGAAGAGACACCATTACCATGACAACTCTTAAAGGATAGCATTCCATTGGGGTGGCTCACTTACAGTTCAGAGGTTCAGTCCATTATCATCATGGTGGGACATGGTGGTGTGCAGACAGACATGGGGCTGAAGAAATAGCTGAGAGTCCTACATCTTGCAGGCAACAGGAAGTAATCTGGTATCACACTGAGTGAAGCTTGAGCATATCTGAGACTTCAAAGCCTATCTTCACAGTGACATGCTTCCTATAGCAAGGTCATTCCTACTCCAACAAAGACATGCCTCCCAATAGCACCATTCCCTCTGGGGACCATTTTCTTTCAAACCTCCACAACCACCATGGAATGAACAGACCTATTTCTGCCACCATCCACTACCTCACGAGAGACCCAAAGCAGTAGAAACAGTGCCCCGTTACCTAAAAACATGACCAAAATCAATTTTCTCTCTTACTGATTCCCAAATATATTTTGTCATGATAATGGAAAACTGACATACACAGTTTCCCTAGTTAGTAAGTGGCAGAATAAGATTTAAACCAACTATCTTCAGAGATCTTACTGTTACTACCACTGCCTCTGTCAAAAGGGTAGGTCTCCCATGACATTGATGAATAGAGATACAGCTAATCCAAAAGAGAAGGAAATCCAAAATCTTGTGCATGTGAAATGTGTAGCATGAAACTTTTGTCATCATTTTTCCTTCCTGAAAATGATTGGGTGAAGCAAATGCTAATTAGCTGTCCATTACTCAGCAACCTCTCCCAGCGGGAGGAGGTTAAGGAGTGATGATAATCAGACTGTGTCTCCAGGGGCCATGCCGACCTTCCGCAGCTAGGCCAGAGGAGAGGCCCCTATTCTGACTTCATTCCAAGATGCTGGTAATTTGAAAAGGGGAGACCACTCAGCGTGGAGGATGTTGCAGGTAGCAAGAGAAGTCTTATAGTTGTACAAGCACCATCTTTTCTGTATGCACCACCTTCCCTGGCTCTGAGGAGCTGGGCACACAGAGGTTTGGTTTGCCACTTCTAAAAGAGCCAACACAATGCTCTCTGGCCCTGATTTTCCACCTATAGGGAACCCACTCAACAGAAAAAAAAAATGGTGGCAAGTATAAGCTGGTCCTGGTCAAATGGATTTTATAAAAGAAAATGTGACTTTCCCACCTTCCTCTCTGTTACGTCCACAAGCCCCCATTACTTGTGGAAAAATGAATGGTGGGGAAGTAGGTACATGTGCATACATGTGTGTGTATGAAAGACTGTACACACCAGAGCTAATAGAAGAAACCGTCTTCTAGGCCCCTTATATAAGGACTTGGCCAGGTGTCTCCTTGGACAACCCATTTACTACCAAATTAGACATGGGCTTTGTTTCTGGAACTGGTGTGGGGCAAGTGGGAGGCCATGGTTCTTGAAACAGTGGGAAGAAGAAACCAACTAAGGGGTTGGAAACCTGGAAGCTGACTCAGAAGCCATCCTCGGGGTCCAGCGGGGAGGACAAATGGGCCAAGGGACAGAGGGTTGGGATTGTGGGTATATAGGTCATGGTGAAAAGCTGCCTCTTCAAGGGACTCTCCACCCTCCTGCTCTGACACCTCTGCATTCCAGCTGTGCATGTGTCTGCCAGGACTGGGTCCACCAGAGCCTTTGGCAACAAGGGAACTAATTGGTTTCTGCACCCAATGGTTTCCACAAGGTAATTTTCCAGAGGACAGAGAAACCAAGCAAAAGCCCCAGCCGATGGGCAACCAGGTGTGATTAATCCCCACAGGCCTAGGCAGTCCAATGATATGCAGCTATGGCTGGAGGAGGGTGACGACTGGCAGTCATTTCTTTCTCTCTACACACACACAAAAAAAAATACATCCAAGAGAAGGGGCGAGCAGAGATGCACAGCTGGAGGTTGACAGAGTCCCTTTAAATCTCAGTCCCTTCCCCTGGTGCATACTAGCAAATTAACTGTGTGTGTATCTTTCTTCACCGTGTAGCCCACTCTTCACTTTCTTCCTTCTCCTCTCTCCCCACTCAGAGGAATTGCAGACATGGCCGATTTACCCATTGGTTTCAGGTCTTTGATGGATGAGGAGACTCCAGCTTCACTGCCTTGTGTGAAAACTGAAACTCCCGCCCTCCTCTCTCCTCCTGTTCCATGCCCCAATAATGTTTGCTTGCCACGTTTTCTAGGTTGGTGCTCAACATCCTACAGTGTCATTTTTGGACCGGTTTCTCTCCCTTCTCTTCTTTGACTTCTCTTCAATATTTCTTCTGAAATAGCTCTATTCCCAGACAAACAACTCACATTTAAAGACGGCCTCCAGCATTTTCCAAGATCAAGTTTTTAAGCATTCACATATGTAGGATTCATTTGAGAGATTCCCTCCCCCAAATCAATGTCCCCTTCCTACCCTGAGTGGTGTCTAAGAACCTGGGGGTACACTGGTTATTTCCTGTTTAGAGTGTGTGACTTAAATGGAAGAGAGAAGTCTCCGCCTGAGATAGTCAGGGTGTTGCTCTAGGAAGCCAGCAAGAGAGCCCTGGCGCAGGCTGACCCTCATCTGACCTGTGACCTAGATAACTTCAGCCCCAGTCTGGCTGCCCAAAGCCTCCTGGGGCAACAGAGGCTTTCTTTGGGCAGAAATGCCTGGGAACTTAGAGTCCCTTTTCCTTGGGGCCTGACCTCTTCTAAGAATAATAGCCTTAGGCCAGCCCATCTTGTAGTTTACTATGGAAGGAGATGTCTGGGAAGCCAGGCAATTTAGGGGGCTGGGTAGAGCAAGGAGGATGGAAGAACATAGGCTCAGCTCTTGTGAGTAAAAGAATGCAAGAGAGTGGCCGTCTTAGAGAGCTGAGAAGCTCCCTGCACACTTCCTGTTTCCAAAGCCTCTTGCCAACCTCAGACATCCGTCTGCAGAGAGCTCCGGGCATGGGAGCAGTGACCTTGCCAAGCAAACAAGGGCAATGCTAATCTGTCCCCTTTGGAGAGCATTACCTGGAAAAAATGGAGCAAATGTCATTTTTTTAAGAAGATAGATCTCCTGGCCCTAGATACTCTACATTCCACTAAGGGGCACACAACTGTCCTGTTATTGGGGTTTCCTGGGCTGTGGCTCTATGCTCTGTAGAGACTTGGGACATGACCCTTTAAGCTGCCACACTCCTACAGAGGCAATAATAAAGACCTGAGAATGCCACTTGCTCTTTGTAAGGCGGCTGCCCACCCAGGAGTCTACACAGCCCTCTGGGCATTCTAGATACCTGGCCACACAATTGTCCATGTCCTTCAAAAAGTCTTCAATGGCAGCTCATCTCTTCCCTCTTGTGAATAAGTGGAACGTCAATTAAACCATGTATACAGGTGACAATAATAAAGTTGGGAACCTAGTCTTCCCCTTCTGAGACTCTCTCTTTTCCACAAGGTTCTCCTACCTTTATTCTCTTTCTAAGAAGGCAGTAACCCCACCCACTAGTCAATCCCACCTCCACCAGCCCAGCCCAGGGAAATCTTTAAGTCCTTGATAATGCCCATCACTTTTGGGAGCATTTTCATTTTACTGAGACTTTATGTCAAGGGGCCTGGGATTGTACTTGAGAGACACCCCTGAGGGTACTGTCTAGAAAGGCCTCCCAGACCAGGAGACACTTCAATCCCATTAGGAAAGTTTTTACAAGGCAAACTTATCCTGAGATAGATGGGCATGTCCATTGCAGGAAAGAGGCTAAACCCCATTCTGTCTATACAGGGTCTAACTCACTGTGGACACTGCTGGAGTGATTTGGTCCTTTGGCTGTCTCTGAGCTTGCATTCCAGTCCTGTCAACTACAAGACATTAGCCACTGACTTCCATCCCTCCTGATAGGTCCTTCTGGTAGAGGGAGCTGAGGGTACGGGTCCTTTACTATATGTTAGATGCTAGATCTAGATACTATATATACTAACTATGTACTATGTACTAGAGGAGATGCCACATAAACGATAGAATCCAGCCACACCCTGAACCACTGTGTCTTACACTTGTCCCTATGCCCATGGGCACTTCTGCCCTGAGGAAGGGGAAGGGTCCCCTGTGGAGGAGGTAGAGAGAATGCAAATCACGTGACCCATGAAAGGCAGGACAGGAGGGCTGAACTGAATGCCTCTCTGCTGCTCATACCCAATCAGGCTCCTGGCAGACGCTGACATTTGGAACTCCCAACAGCAACACTCAGGTGCCTGGACAGTGATTCTAATGGTGATGTTGCTCTGTTCTTGTCTGTCTAATATTCCTTTTTAATCCCCATCCTGCCTGCCCCTCCCTCATGTAGGGTTACTTTAGTGATCCCTGGAATGTTTTTGACTTCCTCATCGTGATTGGGAGCATAATTGATGTCATTCTCAGTGAAACTAATGTGAGTATCACTCTGCCCTCCCCAGGGACCCTACTCCTTCCGCCTCTTCGCCTCCTCCACTCTCTCTCCTCTCTCGCTCACTCTTTGTTTACCTCTTTTTATGTTTTTTTTAATTTCTGATTTTACCCACCTCCAGTCATGCTTTTTATTGAACCTGCCGTCGTCTTGTAGGGGAAAAAAAGCAGAAATCTGTTCTCCTTTTTTTCCCACTTGTCCTGGCTGCGCTGGGCCCAAGGGCGCAGAGCTGAGCGGAGGGGACAGGCTGCACATTGGTTGGGCCAACACTGGCTGCCTTCCAGGTGGCTGTCGCCCACCCACCTCGGAACTAACCTAGCTTTTGTCAGGCCTCTCGATCCTGCGAAAACCAGGTTGCCCAGGTTTGAGCTGCCAGAACTATAGAGTGGTAAGAGTATTTAATATACCCACGTAACCTCTTTCTTTTCTCATTTTTTTCTCTTCTCTCCTTTCTTTCATGCCTCTTTTTTTTTTCATTTCCCTCCCTTTGTTTTGTTTTCTCCTCTTTTGTTGGTTTGTTCCCTTCTCTCTTTCCTGGCTTTTCTGCCCCATGCAGCACTATTTCTGTGATGCATGGAATACATTTGATGCCTTGATTGTTGTGGGTAGCATTGTTGATATAGCAATCACCGAGGTACACGTAAGTACATGGTGTCTGTGACCCAGCTGACCCCGCCTGCTCTAACATCCATTTGTTTCTCCCTGCTTTATTTTTGTCTTTCATTTTTATTTTCTGTGCTGCCCCACCTCCTTATTTTTATTTCATTTTTTAAAATTTGTTTAAATTTTAAAAATTTGGTTCAAATTATTTTTTTCTTATTGCTTTGTTTGGAGATTTTTTAATTTTTTTAATCTTTGGAACGCACTAAGACTTCCTTTTAAGTGTTGGTTGCTGCATCTTTTTCTCTCTCCCTTTATAATCAGCCTGGCATGACTCACACTGTATAGGAGGGTGCAGCTATGTGAATTACGGAGTGAGAAAACGAAGGGTTCTTTACAAGTTCTGGACAACCACTGGAGCTGGGACCCAAACCTCTCCTAACCCAAAGCTTCACCTCCAGATACTGCCTCTCCTCCTGTTGGTTTTCCATCCCCATAACATCCTAAAAAGGCGTGCCCTCAAAACAGAACATCCAGAGTTGAGGCTAGGAATTTGCCTTCATTGTCAACCATGGCCCACCCTCTCCCATAAAGTACTTTAATTGTCTTCCCATTGAACAAACTCTGTCTACTTTGACTAAACATCAGTATCCCATGCGGACACTTTCAGGGAGAGAAGTACTGATGGTGTTTGGGATTTGCTTGTTCTCTATCTCTGGGAACAGTAAAGAGCCTGGTGGCTGGGTGATTTACTGAGAGCTTTCCGGGTGGGTTTTGTCTTTCCATTGCCATAGAAACAGGATCCATGTAAGAGCCTCATATCCATATGAACTCATCATGGAGAGTAGACTGTGCACCCATCTGCTCTCCCTCCCTCACCCCTCATAACCTGCCCCTGGCTCACTGGCCACAGGCAGGCCCCACAGCCACAGCCCTGTTGCCCTCTCCTCCCCAGAGCTGCCTCCTTCTATACGGTTCTTGCACATGTCTTTTTGTTACCTGGCATGTTTGAGTATCCTCTCTTTATCTATAAGCAAGTCTTCTTGCTATTAGTCCTTAACATGTATTGTTTACTTTCTGTCATTATTTTTCCATAAGTAAGAGATTTGATAATGTTTGCGTAAACCTTTGGTGGGTAGAACCATCGAATAACAGCACAGAACACCCAGTTCTGGGACATGATCATAGATGTTTGGAATTCTCTTGCTGCCCTCCACACATCCCACTACCTCCATGCAGCCTGGCCCATTCCCAAGACATTGAACTGACATGTTCTTTTACTAGTTTGATTCTCCTCTGTGTAGACACTGTGCTTAAGAAGGAGGAGCTTACATTCTACATATGTCCCTTCCTTTGTCCCCTTGCCTATGCCCTTGCTTATCCTATAGCTCTAGCCTCAATTGCCCCTCTGTCTCTAAGGGTTTGTCTTTGTCTTTGTGTTTGTGTGTGTGTGTGTGTGTGTGTGTGTGTGTGTGTGTGTGTGTGTGTGTGTGTGTGTGTACTTGCATGTAAGCCCTTAGGCTTGATTCCTTCCAGTAAACCCTCAGATAACTAAAAACCAAAATCAGTCTTCCACAACTGCTGCTAGCTTCCTTTCTGAGTAGACTCCCAGCATGCAGTCTGTGTGAACCCTAAGTTATATTCCTGTTGTTATTTAAGTCTCGGAACTTAAAGGCCAGACTCCACACTTAGCACAGATGTCATGTGCTTTGCTGTTCTGGGGGTCCTGCAGGAGAACAGTTAAAGACTGAGGCATGGACTTCGCCATCTGTATGTAGACAGTAGTGAAGACTGGTACAGAAATCAATGCAGAGATCTGCAGTAGGAAAACACAGGGAAGGATGGCTGGCTGCTTCCCATGATGGCAGAAGACCCATTGTAGCCCCCAGAAGTTCCTCTGAGGTTCTTGTACTGCTAGCAAAAGCCATAGCTCTCATCCTGCCATAACTTCTCTGTTCTGTTTTCAGTGAAAACAAAGGCAAAACAAATACACAGTTCCCTATATAAAATAAATGTGTGTATAGATGTTTGCTCACATAAAAGCACCAATTTAAAAGCCCTATGTCAACTGTAAAGGTCTATGAAGTAAAACTGAAAGCAATCAAGCAAATCACATCAAAACGCCTGCCTCACAAGACCATCTCCTTGGTATACCCGTAACTTGTAACCCCCACACACCAGGAGTGCCCCCCCTTTCCAGATGTTATTAATGAGGCTCATGGAGTGGACCAGCAGGTACAGCCACCAGAGAAAGTGCAGGGCATCAACAGTCACATAACCAGAGCCTTGGCAGACCTTTGGCCACACATGTTATCCAACAGCAGCCAGTAGGAGAGCTGCATGATAAGAACACCCTGCTTGTGTTCCTCTGCCTTTCGGTGATGAGCAGCTGCAAGGACAGTGTCAGGATTTTCTTAGGATCCCATGGGAAAATTCAGGAAATCCTGCATCCCTAACACCTTCTCCAGTGGAGGTGGGGTTTAAATGAGTCCACCAGACCCAAGATAAATGATAAACAGGTATTTATTAGGGAAGCACTTACACAAATACTAGTAAATAACTGCTGTGGTCTTCCTGCTCCTGAAGATGCAGTCTCTGCCCTTCCAATGCTCTGACCACAACCCAAGAGAGGGAGCCAGCCCCTCCTCTTCCTTATAAGGGGTCATGTCTGCACACCTGAAACCATGCCTGTAGCATGTGTCCAGCATCACAAGTTCATTGGCAAAGCAAGATGCCACTACATTTCCCCTTTTGTCTAAATAAGAGGGTTTTAAGCCTGATATAAAAATTATATACAATGATAACAAATATCAAGCATAGTCCAAGAGAAAGAAAGGTAAAAACATACACAAATTTAAAGCTACAACCAGCAAGAACAGCATTAAGCAAGAAACACATACTAAATGTCCAGACCCAGGGTAATGGCAATAACAGAGATTACTCTGATAGCTGTCCTATTCTAAAAAGTGTAATTCTTATACCTAATATGTTCTATCTAAGATAAGAGAGGATATTAGCTGTGACTATCTAGTCTTCAACCTCATCAAAAGACCTGAGAAGGAAAATAACGTTACTAGGGTGAGCAGAAAGTATAAACAGGCGACTTCCTAAAGGTGCAAGAAATAACAGAAACAGCAGGCTATCTGAACAGTCACCCAAGGTCTCACAGTATTGTCAGGGTAAACAACTTTGGCTAAGTATTAGGATACCTGACAGACCATCTCAGAAGCAGGAAAATTTGAAAGACTGTCCTACCCTAACTTGGCAAGGTTCAGCAGTCTCTATGTTTATCTCTGGCTTACCCAGTTAGGACAGCATGTCCAATGTCAGCTGTTGAGGCAGGGGCAGTTCTTTGTTCAAAAGGCCAGTATTGCCAAGAAGAAAATTAACTCTAAATGGAGTGTCATCGGTGCCCATCATACTCTCGGAAATAGGTCGGTGCTGTCGGGAGCAATTGTGTCTCGTGTCAATGAAGTTCTAAATTATTAAAACATTTAAATGTCATATTCTGTAGATCTCTGAAGTGTTTGAAGATCAAATATCTATGTTGGGTACATCTCGAACACATAGAGAACCTGACTAACATCATTAGGTATAGGAGGCATGGGTAACTATGATCTGTAACGCTCAAAAACATACATTGATTACTGACTGCCTCCCATGAGGTGCAGTCTCTGCCCTTCGGATGCTCTGACCACAACCCAAGAGAGTAAGCCAGCCCCTCCTCTTTCTTATAATGGGTCACGTCTGCATACCTGAAGCCACACTTCTAGGACATGGCCACCACCACAAGTGCACTGGCAAAGCAAGATGCCACTACACTCCAGGCTGTCCCATATTTCTCTAGACACACAGTGTCATCACAAGCGTAGATTCCAAGAAAACTTGTTCTATCCAGAAGCTATCCAAGATGGCTTTTCACCTGTAACCCATCTCCTCAGGCTCCTCTAGGACATGGCTGGCTCTTGTCCACTCACAGACTCCCTTATTCACCCTAATGTCCTTACAAGTATTTTGCATATTTAAATCCACCTACTTTTCCATCTTGCTTTCCCCAGGTGAGTGCCCTTCCCTCCCAGGAAATGTACTTTTCATCAATTCTAGGGGTCAGTACCCATTCAACTCTGTATGCTCATAGTCTCTTTCTATGGCTAGGCACTTCCTTAGCCACCTGGGATATATCTGTGTCCAAAAAGACTCTACATTCATGGGTTTGCATTCTAATGAGGAAGCATTAAGTACAGAGAATAAGGACAAGGAGGTTCAAAGAGGGCTGGTCAGGGGCACCAGGCATGAACAGGTGGGGACACTTATGTTCAGAGCCACTTTGTATTTATATTCCTTTTTCTCCTCAGTTTTGAACTCTGGAGATTCAGAATGGCATCCTCTCCCCCCGCCAACAGTGGCAGTCTATTTACAAGTACCACTCTAAGCCCCCTCTCTGTCTCATACGGATGTCTCAGACGCAGGCTTCTGCCCTTCTCTCTGGTGCATCACCTTGTCTAAATCTGCCCTGTTCTTCCTTCGTGAGCCCTGTGGGGTCAAAGTGTAGCATTACTCTACTCTGGTGGAGCCTTGCATCTTCTCCAGTCCTAGAGTATGGAATCATACCTTCTAGATGTGTTCCATGGTTGTCCACGGACTTCTGACAGCACCCACCCCCACCCCAGAGTGTTCTCTGATCTCCCAAATGGGAATCAGTTTGGGGGTGTGATCAACAGCCTTCCTGAGCACTTTTTTGTGATGCCTATGAGAAGATTTTGAACAACAGAAAGTGCTGGAAGACTTCATTTCTTACATTATGGATGTGGAGAACCATTTTCAAATTGTACGTTAGGAAGCCATGATTATGCTCCCAGCCTCGGCACAGGAACCAGGTGCCTCAGGGCAATTAGTCCAGGTCCCAGGGCCTCAATTTATTTGAATGTGGTGGGAGTTGAATGGGGAGGGCAGAGAGTCTCTTGAAACTCCTCTCTAATTACAGTCTGGTTAAGTAAGAGTTCCTTGTTGCTCTCCTAGGGCTCTGAGGTCCTCAGTTTCCTCAGCCCTACTAGGCTCCAGTATGGCTTGTGTGGGGACTATACAGAGGCAGGGGCAAGAGAGACCATACCACTACTCCTGGAATGCTCACACAGAGCCTTGTGTGGGGTCCTTACAGGGGCAGAAGCAGGGAAGAAACTCTAGGGAGAGTTGCAGGCACTGGGATACCATTGGGGAAAGAACTCCAACCCTTGGGGGATTCTAGTCAAGTTCAGGAAGAGTTACTAGGCACAATGTGTTGAACCACAGAAATGACCAGAGCAGGAAAATAAACTAAGGATTGATGTCACTTCCTGTGGCCTTGACTGATTAGGAGGAAAAGGAAAAAGGGATGACATGAGATCTGATCCTTGACTATGTCAGTCATCAGGATAATTACATGACTCATGATTGAAGACCTCAGGATCCCCCCGCCTCACATGTGAAATCTAGGCAAGGCAAGCAGTCTTCTAAAATCTTACAGATAACTGGTGACAAGTCTGTGATTCAAGCCATCCCTATCAATCAACTTTTTACACTCCCACAGAGCTACGGCCATGTACTGAGACCATGTACTGAGACGTCGTCAGCACAGCATCACTGAGAGTAGGGGGTGATGGCTTCTGCTGCTCAAGGGCCCTCCCTCATCTGGTACTTTCTGAAACTGACCTATATAGACATGCTTACCAGGTTCCCTGTGCTGATGCTTAGCCAAGAGATTCTGGCTACTCCTAGAATGCTCACACACAGCCTTGTGTGGGGACCTCACAGGGGCAGAAGCAGGGGAGAGACTCTAGGGAGAGCAGATACGGAGATTTAATGCACATTATGTCCATTGCCCAAATCAACAGGGACAAGAGACAAGGAGAGAAAACAGGAGGAGGACACAGAGGTTGGGGTTAGTTTCAGGAAAGGATGGATTATGGTGCTAGCTCCAGGTCTCCCTCATTGCCATCCTTGATTCTGTCTTTCCCCCCTCGGCATCTTTCTGGCACAGACCCACAGGCACAACTTACTGGTTCCCTGATAATGAAGCCTGCTGGCTCCTTCCCTGCCTCCAGTTCCGTTCTACAATGGAGAAAAGCCTGGGCATGGAGACTGCTGCCTACTATGTGTCCACCGCTACAAATATGGGGAACTCAGAAAGTAGCAAACAAGACACATGACCATAGGCTTAAACTGCTTAGCTTAGGGCATCATGGGCATCCAATGTCAGTGGTTCCAGGCCCCCTATGTAGCACACCAGGGGAGTTTCGCTTGCAGCTAGAAAGGCACTGAAGACCCAGATGATCTCATGAGGTTGTCTGGGGATCAGCATCTGGCCTGCCTAGGCTACTTCCCACACAGAACCTACTCCGTGATTACGGCCTGACTCTGTTGTGAATGGATATTTCTGAGATCATGTAAGCACAGTGTGTGGGAGATGCTAGGAAGACAAAACTCGAGCCAAACAAAAGCTGTCTGGGTAGTATGGCTTTAAGGCTCAAGAAAAAGTTACCCCAGAGTTTCTCAGCCTTTTTGCAAAGTTGTCATCACCTGGGCTGGGAAGCCTAAGACATAAATCTCAGAGAGCCCTCATCCCCGAGCTGCTCTGAAATCTTGTCTTCTGCTGTGAAAACACCACCTAAGGACTTCCAAGCTAGAGCATGATACTAAAACAGTAAAATACCAGAGAAGTAATCGGACCTAAGCATAACTTTTGAAGTAAAACATAACTTAAGTAGATGATATCTTAATCCAAGCAACAAATGGCCAAGTAAAATAGCATCAGGAGGGAAGACAGTCATGGCCAATTGAATCTTTAAAGTCCTCCAATGAGGGATCCCCAGTGTTCAAGTGGTAAAATAAACTACTTTATATTTTAGTAATGGCTAGAAGCTGGTTTAGTGGGGCCAACTGAGCTAGTGAATTTTCTAAAGTGCCTCCATGTTTGGTCTTATTTAGGATGAGATTAGTCCAGAAGTCCTTTAAGGGCTGACTCAAGCTACTTGAAAGTGATGGGTAGCTGGGATGGCATTAGGGTGTTTCTCACAGCAAAGCAACAACCCAAAACCTCACTTCAGAGCCCCTATGTCTACAGAGCAGATGGCCTCCACATGGTTCTCCCATTCCACTGCCAAATCTCCGGAAACACTGAACTCTTTAACAATCTATGGGCAAAAGCCCTGGACCAGCTAGGGGTTGAGGGGGAAGATACACTAAGAGACAGGCTTGACCATCATGGCATCTGCCTCGTGCTGGTGGAAAAGGAACTTGGGTGCTTGGACAAGAAATGTCCTGTGTGAGTGAGTGAGTGTGTGTGTGTGTGTGTGTGTGTGTGTGTGTGTGTGTGTGTGTGTGTGTGTATGTGTGTGTCCATCTGTTTCTATGTTTCCTATCAACCCAGTAGCCAATCCTACTGAGCCATCCCCTCCAGACATGTAGACTGGCCGGGCAGCTGGCACTCCTCACAAACAGAGAATGAGTTCTAGAAATGACTAGAGAAGACCCTTCCATCCTCCTCCCGGACTCACTCGCTCTACCATCCCCAAAAACCATCAAAACCAACTCTCTATGGGAATTTTTTAATTAATTAAGAACTATGTAACCAAGAAGTTATTTTCAGACTTCAAGAAAACATCTAATTATGAACAGTTTTTCCTTCAAAAATCCCATTAGGTGTTTCCTCGTTTGCACCTTAAAAACAAGCACAGGGGCAACACCTGAAAGTAGCCAGTGCAGGCCTCGGCTGCAGCACCAGTGGGTGAGAACAGTCAGATGTGGCTGCTGTATGTTAGAGCCCAGTGTGTGGCTGTTCCTGGGAAAAATTACTAGGGAAACTGGGAGAGGAGGGGTCTTGAGGTACTCCTGTGAGCTCTTGTCCCCAAACAAGTTCAACAGTCTAACCCTGGAAAACAACTTCTTGGGACACTGTTGATGATATCCTAAATTGTATACAAGGCCTTCAGGATTTAAAAGCAGTCCAATCTACTCCCACATCAATGGCCAAGGGGCCCCCACCTCACTAATCTGAGCTCTCTAAGCAAGGCCATGTCCAACCTGAGCTTGGTCTTTTAAAGAAAGACCAAGGTGCAGGCTACCACCTCACGTCTCCTTTAGTCAGAATTAGAATTCAGCCTTCTCTAACCTGAGGGGCTGCCACCCTGGAGCTCTTTTGTTTAATTGTCTCTGTGTGGACAGTGATGGGCACACTCAAACCACGGTTTGTCCTTTGGCCCAGCACTTCATAGAGAAGGCTAGAGTGCAGAAAGTGGAAGCCCTAAATGGTTAGCTTGAAACAGACCAACTGAAAACAAACAATAAACAAAAACTGAGCTCTATCTACAAATCTGGAAGACCTCCTTTCCTCCTCTGTGTCGGGGCTGAGTTATTTCACTCATAGCCAGAGGCAGTCACTGAATAGGATAGGAGAAGCTTATTGGTCATTGTTGGCCATATGGTCTACTAACACAGCCCATGTTCTCACTGGTGTCCCTCACCCTGCCAGGCCCACGCTTGTGTATTTCTTTCACTTGTTTCCTTATGCCCTCTCCTACCACTGTGTTGTTCCTCTGTTAGCCAAGACCTAGAATACCAGGCTCTTCGTTGGAGACTCATTACAGCTTATCTCTGTCTGCCTTTCTTTAAAGCCAGCTGAACATACTCAATGCTCTCCCTCTATGGTAAGAACAACCCTCCAGACCACATTCCCAGCTTCTGTGGTCCCCTCTAGCCGCCACCACTTATCCACCCCGACTTCCAGAGCCCTGGGAGCTCAGCCCAGCTCCCACTGCATGTGGCCACCATGTCCATTGTGTGCCTTACCTGCCTGTGCTCACGCGAGCTGTGCAAGGGTGTGTGTACAGTGGTGTTCCTCTACTTCCCCAAGCTTCCTTTGGGTGGTGAGTCACCGTGATCCACTGGGAGAGAACTGGACCCATGCTATTTCCTGTTAAATATCCCAAGGACTTGGTGTTTCATCTAATGTGGGAATTTGTGAAGGATACTTTGGAGAACTGTGATTAGGGCTCCAGAGTAAAGACAAAAGCAGGGGTGAGGTCCAGCTAGAAGGGAAGGCAGTTCTAACCAGCTCTGTAACTACCAGCTTCTCCTGGGCTTCGTGTGAAAGGCTGTATGAGAGGCACAAGCTGGCATTTGCTATGGCACAGGGGTGGCCCGATAATCTCTCTACTGTAGCCCTGAACCTTAGTATCGCATCTTTCCTGGTTCCTCAAGTCCATCACATTTGCACTAGAACCACTTTTCTGTAACATGTGGGAAGCAGGAAAGCAAACCAACTGGACCACTCCAGATGAAGGAGTATATACATTTCTTTTGTCTGAGTGGTAGACATGCTTTATCATATGACCTTTAAGCTCCTTGGAATAGCTTCCCCCTTTCAATCCAGGCTAATGATTCCCCAAACCCCTGTAAGTTAGATTGAGAGATGTAGTTGTGATTCCCATAGCAGCCAATGCTGCCCAAAAGGCTGCCTAGGAAGTTTTTGTTTTGTTTTGTTTTTTAACTCATCAGACCTAGATGTCCCAGCTTCACAAATGCTTGACACTCACAGTGGAAGTCCTTCCACTTAAGTTTGTTTTGTTTAGTTGTGGATATTCTTTTCCTTGCTTGAACATGGTAGGACTGGCAGGTAGCAAGAAGCTCTGAGCTCCCTGTACAATCCTCTGAGGAGCAAACCTTCCTCTAAGGACAGAAAATAGAACCTAGAGGAGGCAAACAGATGCTGATGGTAAGGGAGCCAAAGACTTCCTGGGTAGGACCAGCAGCCCACATTGCAAGCCTTAGGAGTTCCTGGTACCTATGAGTCTGTCCACTGCCTGGGCAGGGTTAAAAGTCTTAAAGCAATTGGGGTAGCTCCAATTTTAAAAATGTAAGAAATGTTTTGACTCTTGTCCTATCTGGAGGGTCTGAAAACCAGAACCCTCTTGGCTTGCTTTCTTCAGAACCCTCCCAGTATGGGGGAGGGGAGCTGATCTGGAAAATCTGCCCCAAACTATCCTGCCTCCCTTAGGATGTGGTCATTGACATGGTGATGGAATATCCCATTGCTCCAGCCTGTTGCCCCTTGCATATTCCTAAAGTTCATTTCATATACAATTCCCGATAGAACTGAGATAAAGCCATGCCACCTTCAGGGATGGTCCAGCGGCCATAGAAAAAGAACTGAAGGGCTTGTGGAGCCCCAGAGCTTTAGTGCTAAGGAGTATTCAAGGGTATAGATTGTCATGGTGCTGTCAGAGCGGGCCCGAGCTAGAAACACTGCCAAGTATAGCAAGAAACAGGAGATCAAGCAATATAAGACCCCCTCCTTCAAGGGGTGCCTGGGATGGGAGCCGTAACAGGAAGTTCTGGGGTCCTTTCTCTCCTGGTGCCGCTACCAGCAGGGCTGGGTAGGCTGCACTAGCTTTGGGGAAGGCAGAAGGGCTCCCAGCAGCTCTTGAAGCTTTGGAACACAACCAGTTGCTCACATGAGCAGGAGGGCCAAGGGTACGGTCGTGTTTTTTTTTTTTTTTTTTTTTTTTTTTTTTGCTCATGTATAGGGGCAAAAAGAGACACTCCTGCCCCAAAGACCTGGCTAGGCAGGTGTCCACACCCTCGGGCTCCTCCCGACTAAGATGCCAGTGGTGAACATTTGGCCATAGATTACCAGCAGCCCAGGAATTCTAATCTCACCTCAGCCTCCCCGACCTCAAGGCTGCCTCTTTCTCTTTCTCTGCCAGAGGCCATACCACAGATAACCCTGAGTGGCACCCATAGTGGTCACATACCAGGCTCAGCCTTGTCTAGGGCTCAATGCACAGAATGACTCTCCTGCCTTGTCCTGCTGTTGTCGTCAGTCCCTCTAGACCGCGGACCTCTTGGGAAGGTCACAACCTCCCAGGCCATGCCTTGAGGACCATGAAAGGGCAGCAACTCCATGCAGTGAGGCATGGGACTGTGGCTCCCCCATTATAACACAGCAAACCACTACCACCGTTCCCGGCAGCCATTTAGGAAGAAGAAAGTGGCGACAGGGAGAAGTGAGCATACAAGGCATGCTCAGAGGCTATTTCAGACAGGTGGGCGGGAAGCCCTCACCATCCCTGCCTCCTCCCGGTTGAGCAGAGTTCCTCTCACAAGGCAGTACTCCCCGCTGAAGAGATAGGAGCTGCTGGGCTGCTTTCTCCCACCACAGGAGGGCATGAGCCTCTAGGGCAGTGGCTCTGGGCCCAGGTTCCACAGCTTGTAAAAGTTGAAGAGCTAGGAATTATGGGAAAGGGGAGGGTAGGAAAAACAAGGCATGGGTCCAGGGCTGTATTTTAGCAGACACCTTGGGATAGGTTGCCGACCTGGGAAGAAATGCGCTGGCCTCCCACCTCGGAAACAGGGAGTTGGGGCCTAAGGAAAGAGTCTAGTGCAGCTGGCCCCACCCTGGCCTGCCTCCTCTCAACCAATGGCTGTTTCTCAGAGGATCCCTTCCTGCCCCGCCTTCTTGCTGTGTTAACTGCACCCCCTATTGCCAACGGGTTCTAGAGCGCAGAGGAGAACTCCCGCATCTCCATCACCTTCTTCCGCCTCTTCCGGGTCATGCGCCTGGTGAAGCTGCTGAGCCGTGGGGAAGGCATCCGGACCCTGTTGTGGACCTTCATCAAGTCTTTCCAGGTAGCCATGCCACTCTCCCCACCTTGTAAAGCTGGTAGAGAGACAACCTCCACTGCTCCAGCAAGTGGAATGACCTAGTGCTCCACTGTGGCTTTCTCTAGGGCCCCCCACAAAGGGCAGACTGGGAAAGAAACAGCTCCAGCACAGCATTCAAGACCCCGGTCTGGCTGAGCTGGCTCTCATGCTGTTCTAAGTGACTGTGTGAGTGTGTGATTGCAATGTGATCACACCCGGCTTTCTCATTCTGAAGGGAGAAAGGATACGAGTAGACCTGTGATTCCAAAATCCAGGGCTCAACACTTCCCAAAGAATTTACTAGAAAAAGGGGTTGTAAGACCAGTCCTGAGGAGTGCTGTGTAGGTGTAAAGTTTATGAGAAGCTAAACCGTTGAGGCACTTGGACTCCTGGGAAAGGTCTGTAGAAATTCCTAACTGTGCTTCCAAGACACCACACAAAAGCCAGCTTCTCTTCCCACACATCCACTCTTAGCCTTCCCTAGACCCTGCATCTAGGCCTTCATGTCCCCTGCCCTGGACAGCGCCAAGTTCAAATAGGGCATGGAGTCTGTCTCCATCCAGATGTGCTCATAGTGGTGATTGTACCCAGTGGACAGTTGTCTTATGGTGGTGACTTGCCTGCCCTGTTTGGAGTCCTCTTCCAAACTCACGGCTCTGTGGACACTGCCACCCAAAGCTCTCTGATGGATGACCTCAAGGTCCATTCCAGCTGCACACAGATCCAGTGTTCTTCTAGTAATGTCCCACCCTGCTGGCCTCTTGGCCCCTAATGAAAAGCTGCGGCTCCCCCACCCCCACCTCAAGACCCTTCTCTGGTCAAAATGAAGGGAGGTTTCTAGGCTGGTCCTGCCTTGACCCCTGAGACACCCCAACGTTTCCTTGTAATGGGAAGTGGCTAGGGTGACCTTGAAGAATGGGACTTAATCGGGGAGCAAGAGAGCCCACCATCCATGAAAAGATTGGGTGATCTCTTGGTGCCATCTAGTGGTACATGGGCTACATCTTTCCTAAGCCAGAAAGCTAGGTTTCCATGATCTCACAAAGGTGGTGATACCCAGTGCCTCCTCCGAATTGTCCGTGGCTCTGTGTAGGAGGTATACTGAAGGAGTAAAGTTTGTGGAACCTAATTTTGTATATGCTATTGTATCGTGTATCTCACAAGCCTTAGATCCTTTAAATGTCACAGTCCTTGCCAGGTTTAAATGCGATCATCCTCATCATTCAGATCAGGAAACAGGTCCAGAGAAGTTAATTAACCTGTCCATGCTCCAGAGCTGGAAAGTGAGGACAGCAACATGACAGCCCATGATTGTTCTTACATTTCTCCTTATTAACTGTTTTCATAGCAATAGTGCTGACTGCTCATTTGTATGAAAGTAACTGCATAAAGACAGGGTATAAACTGCCTCCTTCCCACTTTTCCCTGGTGACTACAGTGGTCTTGTTGGGTAATTTCCATCACTCTTTCCTTCTTTGTGCAAATATGTAACTATAGTCTGAGGAGGGCTGCTCCTTGATTGTTCTCAATAAACAATATGATGCCTCCTCCATCACTCTGAAGCATGCTTTTAAAATCAAACTATGGACTGGGACCAGGGCTCAATGGTAGAGGCCCTCAGCTCCATTCCTAGGAGATGGGTGGGTAGATAGATAGATAGATAGATAGATAGATAGATAGATATGATTACTGATAGATAATAACAGATGATAAATAGATAATAACAAGTGATAGATGGCAGATATATGATAGAGATAGATAATAGACAGATAATGACAAATAGATGAAGACAGATACAGATAGATGATTGCAGATAGATGATAGATAGATAGATAGATAGATAGATAGATAATGACAGATATAGATAGATAATGACAGAAGATAGATAGATAGATAGATAGATAGATAGATAGATAGATAATAGACAGATAGACTGCTGATATGGGAAGCCAGAGCTCACCTCTCAGGTCCTCTCCCTGGTGCTCAGTCCCTCTAAGCCAAACACCAGTGAATGCTGTGGCTGGGACTGCAATGCTTTCTTGGAAAGAACCCTACTGGCCTGTGGCCCTGGGTCTCATGGCCCCTCTGTGCTTCCTTCTAGGCCCTGCCCTATGTGGCCCTTCTGATTGTGATGCTGTTTTTCATCTATGCAGTGATTGGGATGCAGGTATGAGAAACTCTGCCTCCTTGGTCTCTTCGCAGCCCCCAGAGCCATATTCCTCCCTCTCTCCTGGCTTGTGTTCCTACCTGTCACTGTCACTCAACCTTCAAAGACCTGGAACTTCCCCAATAGGACGTGCTATAGGCCGTGGGCGAGAGACAGCACAAGGACCCCTGCTTTCTTGGGTTCTGCAATGGGAGCACCCTCATAAATTAAGCAGTGGGCCTCAGGAGAGAACAGCCTTATGGAGAGACAGCAGAAAGTGGGTGTGTCCCACCAGTGTCCTCTGCTTTGTTCACATTTGCTGTGCCCAATTTGGAGTGAGAAAAGAAGAAAGAACACTGCCCCTCAAACATGCAGCCATTTTCAGGGACTTCCTTCCCAGGGGCCTGCTGCACTTTCTCTGTTCCCTCACCCAGAGTCTCTCCATCCCTTCAGGGCTCCAGCTGAGTCTTTCCAGGTTCTGTGGGGTAGTGCGTCCCCAGCCAAGCATGTATATATGAGCCAGGATCTTCACTTAATATCTCCCTGTATAAAATCCCTAAAAGTTCCTGAGGGGGGAAAAAATCTTCTGCACTTTGAAAGAAAAAGATCTACCTTGACATCATATACAGGGATATAGCACTGGAAGCTTCTCAGAGAAGCCTAGCTTCAGAAGGTCAGAGAAAACACAAGCAGGCCCCTGACATCAGGAATGAATGAAGCTTGTCCAAGATCTGGGCTGCCCATTCCATATCACTGTAAAATCCAAGCATCAACTGTGTATTTGGGTGCCTGGAGATGCAAAGGCGAAAGGCAGTGAGCCCTGGTTCCTGCACTGAGCACCCTGACCTCTGCCCCAGCTTCCCCTGGGTGGGAGACATTTCCTGTGGGCTGAGGGCATATTTCTCCCTCAAGTTTTCCATGCTGGGAAGAGGTCCAGGAATCAGGGGACAGCAGATGTCTGCTGAGTCATATCAGAGACTGCTTGGCCTGATAATCCCAGAGAGGCTGTTAGACAGTGAAAGGAGATGAGCATGCTGTCCTTCTCTGGTCCCTGAATTCCTCTTTCTTCAGGTGTTTGGGAAGATCGCCTTGAATGACACCACAGAGATCAATCGGAACAACAACTTCCAGACGTTCCCACAGGCTGTACTACTGCTCTTCAGGTGGGTCTCTGGTGACATAGGTGCACACATGTGCGCACACACACACACACACTTGCAGGGCCACTGCCCTTGAGGTTGGTCTCTGATGATGTAGGTGCACACATGCACACTTACAGGACAATAGCCCTTCCCTGGAAGAGCCAAGGGAACAGGAAAAGAATGGTCTCTTCTCCCCTCTTAGCCAGGGAGTCGCAATGTCATTTACACCAACTTTCCATGTGCAGCCACAAGCACTACACCCATCATCTGGGGAGTCCCCTGACCCAGCCAGTGGGTCAGGGGACTCCCAGATGGCGGTTTGGCATCTGAACTGGGGCATAGGCAACCCTCGACACACTGACCATGAACAACTGTTCTACCTTCTCTGACAATATGTTTAGCAAGTCATCCTTTAGACTCCATACTTCTTGGAAATCTGCCTCCAGGGGTGTGGCGGAGAGGGAGTTTTCTCACACTGCCCAGAGTTCATCTCTTACACCACCTCATCACCTTGTTCTCTTGGTTCACCGTGATCCCCTTATCTGCTTCCATCTTCTCAACTTCCTGCTTTGCATGATGTCACACCCTGAGACTCCATCTAGTCCCTGGCTGGTAGATGAGAATATTTCTCTTGTCTCCAAGGGATATGCTTTCCAGGTCCTCGAGGCCCTTTTCCAGGCATATGAGGAGAAAAGCTCCTGGTCATCTGATGCCACCTCCACCATCTCCTACAGAACCTGATCCCACACCCATGTTTATTACTGCTCAAAATGCATTTATCAAAATGATGGGTCTCCTTAACATCAGCCTGGCGTCACTGCCTCCCAAATCACACACCACCAGAATGCAAGGCTATTTATTGTAAATCTGCCATGTCACAGCACAAGCTTGTGCCACACTCAAATGCAGGAGATGGTCACAGACCTCAAACTGGCCACTGAGTTCTCTCTCTCTCTTCTAAAGTTCTTAATGGCAGAAAATACCTTTTCAAAGAACAAACCCATAACACTGCTGGAGATGAAGAAGAAACAGATGAGAGAGTGCTACGGGTGGACTGGAAGTGTTGAGGAACTTCTAAATGGAAGAAAGGAGACGAGGTTCCGTTCACAAAAGAGTGAGACGAGAGTAGCACATTTCCAGACAGTTTGAGACCAGGGAGGGTGAGAACAACCTGGAGCTTCTCCAATCTAAATGAAGACAAAATACAAAGATTAAATATTGTTATTTTCCTTTCTAACTTATTTTTAAATATTTGTTTAGCAGAAAGGATACATCTAAAAATGTATTGATGAGCTGAAATATCAACTGAGGTTCACTTACTGTATAACCAAAGTGCAAAGAAAAATAAAGTATGAAGTAAAGCTTAAGATAAAAAAGATAGGAAAATCCTACCATGGAATAGAAATTCCAGACAAGAACAGAGGAAATGAAGAGAGTAAAACACTGGGCTGATCCAATAAAATTTCAAGACAGAAGTAAGCCTTCAGATTGAAATGACTTACTAAGTGAAGACTAGATTAACAGAAAAATCTTTGACCTCCCAGAGGTGGTGGCTCATGCCTATGCACTCAGAACTCAGAAGGCTGGAGCAGAGGGGTCATGAGTAAAGCTAGTTGGGATTCCATGGCAGTATCCTCTCTCAATTTTACCTCCAAATAGCCTTAACTGTTAGTTCAGGCTGGCTTTTTAGAATGCCAACAATAAGAAAAAAGATCTTAAAGGTTTCCAAAGTATAAAACCCCAAAATGCTGAAGAAAGGGAAAATTCTTTCAAGCTGTTTTTGTTTGTTTAGGCCAGCTGTACAAAGACAATACAAGAAAAGGAAACTATAGACCAGTGATTTCAACTTTCCTAATGCAGTGACCCTTTAATTCAATTCCTCATGTTGTAGTGACTCCCAACCATAATTTTACTTTCGCTGCTACTTCAAAACTGTACTTTTGCTACTGTTAGGAATTACAATGTAAGTATCTGTGTTTTCTGATGGTCTTAAAAACCCCCAAGGAGGTTGTGACCCACAGGTTGAGAACCACTGCATAGACCAATATCTTTAATGAATGTAAATACAAAAGAATCCTCAACAGAATACCAGCAGACTTCATTGAACAGTACAATGCAAGCATCAGTCATTGTGTACAGGTGGAATTCAAGCCTGGAATGTAAGTGTGGTCCTCCCTATGCAAATCAAGAAGTGACACAGCACACTGACAGAAAGAAGGACAAAAACCATGTGGCCATCTCAGTAGATGAGACTCACAGTGTGACTCGTCTATATGACTGGAGTAAAGTGCTTGCAAATGTATATGTTAAATATTGAAAGTCAACAACTGGATACATAGAGATTGAATGTGTACATTCCAAAGCAGGGGGAGGAGAGTGTATATGTAGCTCAGTGGTGCATTGTTTGTCTGACAAACCCAAGGCCCTTGGTTGGATTCCCAGCCCCGCCTGAAAGTAAGCCACTGGTCAAAACACTGGACAAGGGAAACTTCAATGGTTTATCAAAAGAAGGGCAAAAGTGGCACTTAAATAAATAAAAAATTAGAAAAATAAAGCTAAAAGGAAGAAAAAAGATAATACAAAGATATTAAAATTAAGCTTGTTTAAAATTTTCATTAAAAATTCAAGCATTAGGACCAGCAGTATAGCTCAATAGGTAAAGGTGCTTTCTGGCTAGACTGACAACCTGAGTTCAGTTCCCCAAGACCCACGCAGTAGAAGGGAAAAATTGAGTCCTGCAAGTTGTTCTTTGACCACCACACATGTACACTGACACATACCCACACTCAAAAATAATTTTAAATTCTTTAATAATAAAGATCAGATATGATACATGCATAAAATTTTAGCCAGGCATGGAACCAGCACTTGGGAGGCAGAGGCAGTCAAATCTGTGTGAGTTTCAAGCCAGCCTGATCTACATAGTAAGTTCCAGGACATCTAGAACTACACAGAGTAACCCTGTCTCAAAAAAACAAAAACAAAAAAGAAAAAGAAGAAGAACTCTAACTCCAGAATATGTGTAATAGAGATAGTAAAACCAAGTGACCCAAAGAGAGTGAGGATAAAGAGATGGGAAATGGAAACACCAGCAGTGCTTGCCATGTGTATGCAGCAGTCACAGCGTCCATAGAAGTCAAACTCCAGGTAAGAAGCATTAAACCAAACAAAGAGGAGGATTTGATGCTGATAAAAGGTTTATTACAAACAATAGAAGCTTAACAATATTGTTTGGAAATATATATAGTAATAGAACTCAAGGAGAAAACAAACACATAACGCTGAATGGCTAAATGTATAGATCATAAAAAATTATAGATTGGCATAGGTGAAAGACCATCTAAATTACACAATTAAGAAATGTCACCTATAGACCTGTCCTCAATAATTGGCAAAAAAGACACATTCTCTTTGAGCACTCAGAAACATCCACAAAGTAGCCACAACTTAAGTGATAAGTTCATTAACAAGCTCTAAAGCTTCTTCAACATCAATACAGCAAGCTAGAAATTATGCACAAAAATAAGCCCCTTTAAAATCTACCCACGTAAAATGTTAAGACATTTCACTATTCGCTTGAGTTGAGCTTCTCAGTATTGGGAACCAAGGTGAGATGACTGGTCAATGCCAAAGAAAAATAAGAGCTCAAGCGTCCTCCTCCTCTTCCTCCTCCTCCTCCTCCTCCTCCTCCTCCTCCTCCTCCTCCTCCTCCTCCTCCTCCTCCTCCTCCTCCTCCTCCTCCTCCTCCTCCTCCTCCTCCTCCTCCTTTTTGAGACAGGGTTTCTCTGTATTGCTTTGGAGCCTGTCCTGGGACTCTCTCTGTAGGCTGGCCTTGAACTCACAGAGATCCACCTGTCTCTGCCTCCCAAATGCTGGGATTAAAGGCATGCGCCACCAACACACGGCTCAAGCATCCTTCTTTAGTAGATTATATGAAATAAACAGATGGGCAAATGAACATCAAAATAATCCCAAATTATGAAAGAGTTCACTCATAAAAATAAAAGTGTAAATTGCCAAAATAAACAAAGCTTGATTTTTAATCCTCAGAAGGTGATTCCTTAAATGCCAATAAGTAAATATGTATTTATTAAATATAAGCACAATAAAACAAAAACACAACACCAAGCATGGGAATGTTGCATAATTATGGATGTGGGAGCTAGGCGGTGGTGGCGCACGCCTTTAATCCCAGCACTTGGGAGGCAGAGGCAGGCGGATCTCTTGTGAGTTCAAGGCCAGCCTGGTCTACAAAGCTACACAGAGAAACCTGTCTCAAAAATCTTTTAAAAAATTATGGATATGGAGATGATTTTTAGAACAGCGAGTGAATTTCATGCCCCATCACCGAGGGGATCAGCTACTTTAGAATGACGCTACACGTCTTTCTTGCCACTGGCTGCTAGAAGGTCTTTAAAGCAGGCAGTGGACACAAACTTGGTAACTCCTACAAGAAGCATGTGGCCACAGAAGTGGCCTCTGGCACTCAGGGGAAGGCTGGGAGGGCTATGTGCACGGAATAAATGCAAGAATGGCATAGTGAAGCAGGGCTGTTTCCTCCCCTGAAGCCTGGGCCTTCCTGTTCTTGTGGACCAGTGTACACTGCAGAAAAATATGCAAATCCTTCTCCAGGTTGCTTGTATCTTAGCATTTGGTTACTTTGGGGAAAAGGTGGAAGGGTATCGCTGACTGATTTGTTGGACACCTCCCCTCCCAAAGGGTGCAAGATGCACTAACTTTTCAATCTCTTTAAGATTATCTTCCCCAATATTCTGTGAAGAGGCCCACAAACAAAGATTTTGTTAAGGAGAAAAATGTCACTCCAGTGGAAGACCACACATCCAAGAATATTTGGACAGCAATAAATTGATCTAGATAGTATTTTTTAAGAAAAAATAAAGTATTAACTGGAAGATCACTGATAAATCAAGAAACTACAAATTTAAAGAACAAATTATTCTTTGAAAAAATGTCCCCGTGTATAGTTTTCTGGACTGCCACTTACATAAATCAAAGTGAGCACAGCCATTTAGTTCCGGCTTATCAGAAGGAGCAGCCTTTCCTGCCAGGTGCAGATTAGTGCTAATTTAAACAGTGAAATGCTCTCAACAAATTAGTAACATTAGCTACAGTAGATATCGAAAAGGTTGTCAAAAATCAAGTCCCACGCTGATGTGTTTTCATCTGTGGTCGAGGACTAAATAATTCCAAGTCATCCAAACTCTCAGAAATAGAAAGAGGCAGGAACCTCTCCCACTCCCCCACCTATTTTCCTTTTTAAAGAGAAGCAAGAAGTTACAAACACTACAGCATGGGATACTACCATCTGAAGACAAAGGCTAATTCAGGTAGAAAATGCAAGCAAACCAATTTTATAACAGTGGGTAGGATCAGTGAGGTGGGAGAGCCACCAAGAAAATTACCAGCTTGTGATAACCAATTAGTAAATACAACAGACATATTATGCTATCACTTTTTCTAGTCCATGTTATGTTGAACGTTCTATCCAGTGCAATAACATGAACAGGATGACCTGGGGTGATGGCTCAGTGGGTAAGGTCCCTGCTTTGAGAGCATGGAGACCTTGAGTTTAGAGCCTTGGCAAGTGTGACGTTAAGCTAGAGACAAGCTGTATCTGGAATGAGACATTTTTAGTGAATGTAACTAACATAGGAATTAATACAGAAATGCCAAGGACTTTTTGACTAAACAAGAAGATACCTAGCCCATTAAGTCAAAGGAGCAATGCCATGAGCATGCAGTCAAGAAGACACACAATCAAAACTGGCAACCTACTAATCATTTCAAAGCCATTTTTTAAAAAGATAATTGTTTTATTTCTCTTCAAGATAGGACCTCATGAAGCCCAGGCTGGCCTAGAAAAGCCAACTAGCAGTGAAATATCATTCCACACCATCATCTGAGGATTAAAACTTACTAACACCAAGAGCTGATGTGTCTGCAATGACACTGATGACCCTAATCTAAACCAGACAAGTGCTACCTGATAAAAATGAAGACTTGGTAGTTCCAATCCTAAGCAGACACCCAAGACATGGGCCAGCATACTTACTACAGTGTTAACTGTGACAGCAAAAAAGAATCTTTCTGAAAAAGCCACTCGCATAGCAAGGGTGGATTTTTTAATGTACTCATGGAGGGTGCTCCTGTGTAGCAGTGAAAACAAACTACAGCTACAATATGTCTATCTGGCTGCATCTAAAATATTCACATAGATAAAAGAGCAAGTTTTCAGAGACTTCCTGTGTGTTTCAATTTTTACAATATTCAAAACAATGCTTTATATTTCCATATTTAATGAACACAATCAACGTCCAGTGAACACTGAATGCTCAATTCCTTTTAGCAACTCCTCCTGGAAGGTGAGCTCAGGGAGCCTTGCATGGGTGAGTGAGTGGTCAGCTGACACTCTCCCCTCTCTTGTCTAGGTGTGCCACTGGGGAAGCCTGGCAGGATATCATGCTGGCCTGTATGCCGGGCAAGAAGTGTGCCCCAGAGTCTGAGCCCAGCAACAGCACGGAAGGGGAGACCCCCTGTGGCAGCAGCTTTGCTGTCTTCTACTTCATCAGCTTCTACATGCTCTGTGCCTTCCTGGTAAGCTGAGGTGGAATTCTTCAACAGCACTGAGATGGGGGGTGGGCAGTTTCAGCACAGCGTGGGGTCAGGGCAATCCCAGCAAGAGAGCTGTCTTGGGAAGACTGAATTAGTAGAGCTGTCTCACCCCTGAGAAGGGCCAGAAGCCTTGGCCCAGAGAGACTCAACCAAACTCCATCTTGTCCATTCACGGCTCTTACAGTAGCATTGTTCTAAAAGACTAAGACATGTGGAAGCTCTGCATGAACTTGTATGTCCCTAATACCTTGCTCAGGAGTGAGGGAAAGGTGACCAGACAAAGCCCTTCTCTGTCCCTGGTACCTTGGTACAAAGGAAACTGGTCTATGTGTAGGATTCATCCCTCATGATGCTCAGGGGAATAGTGTTGAGCTCATGCCCAAGAGACCCAAATTGGCATCCTAAATGGTAGCATATTTCTGATACTTAGATACCTTGGTTTCAGACTTGCCTGGGCACTGGCTGCTGAAGTGGGCTTAGGTAGCAAATGTGTAAATCTTGGCAAACCCCTTAGTGTACCAACTGTTCCCTACAGATCATCAACCTCTTCGTAGCCGTTATCATGGACAATTTTGACTACCTGACAAGGGATTGGTCTATCCTTGGTCCCCATCATCTGGATGAATTCAAAAGGATCTGGGCCGAGTATGACCCTGAAGCCAAGTAAGTTCCTAGAGGGAAACTCCGACCCACCAAGCTGAGAGGGGGTTGAGTGACCTGCAGAAGAGATCCAAGAGAGGTCAACATTGGGTGTACTAACTGAAAACCCTGAAATGTATCAGACCAGAGTGGAGGGTCAAGGGCCAGCAAGAGGAGGCCAGGTGCCATTCACAAAGCTGGGGAACATATCAGTTGAATGGGAAAATAAAAGACTCTAGTGTCAGATGAAACTAGCAACACTAGTCATTTGGGGTTAGGTAGACTCCAGCCCCATCTTGACCTCAGGTTTATGGAAACTCATTTACCCATAACTGTTTTGTTTTGTTTTGTTTTGTCTTTTAAAGAATTGCAATTTATTTCCTGTAAATATTTCCAGATAATATTTACATTACATTAATAGGTAAATGCAAATCAGTAAAACAAAAACATAAACCATGCATACATATGCACAATAGCCAAATAACTGGCTTTATAAGGAACCTTATGACTGTTATGCCAAGTTCGTGAGACCCCAAAAAGAGACCACCAAGGAGCCGACTCACTGATGCAAACGCATAAGGCTTAATGTTAAGTTACAAGGCTCAGCAGGGACACTGTCCAGCAAGCTGGCACAGCAGCTGCAGGAAAAGTGTGCCTGACTTCAATTGCAAGGGGTTTATAAAGGAAAGAGAAAAAAAAACACAATCAGGGTGGCTATGCCTTGGCTGTTCAGGATTGGGTAGAGTAGGTGACCTTTGGATTCATTGACCTGGGGGCTAGGGGAATTTCAAAATTGTTACTAACAGTTGCCCGCAAAAACAGTTGTGACCAGAAGATGCTGTTTATCAAAATTAGTCATTGCCTGACCATCCGGATGGGGTCATTTTGACCAGGATGGGTGCTCCTTGGAACTGTTTATGGTTCTTTGGCTGGAGCTGAATCAGCCTTGTGCCATGCAGGGAATATCTTTTTTTTTTCAGATTTTTTTATTTGAATTAGAAACAAGATTGTTTTACATGTCAATACCAGTTCCCTCTCCCTCCCCTCCTCCCCTACCACTCCTTCCAACTAAAACCCTACCTATCCCATATCCTTTCTGCTCCCCTGGAGGGTGAGGCCTTCCAGAGGGGGGTCATCAGAGTACCCATGACTGTTAAATGACCATCCCTCAATTCTGGCCAAATGATTGAGCACCACATACATAGTGGGATTTAATTGCACTACTAGAATACCTTCTCCCTGGAGCACAGCCCTAACAGACTTCTGTGATGAAACTAACATGTGCGCTGGGATTGCAGTTCTGTCATGTGTCTTTGCCCTGCTCAAGGCCTTCAGGTAGCCCTTCAGGGAATGCCCTGCGTCTGGTCCCCATCCCCATCCCCCCACCCCCACAGGAGGTGAGCCCTGACCTTCTGACCTCCTTTCCTTCTCTTCTTCTTCTCTAGGGGTCGGATAAAACACTTGGATGTGGTGACCCTCCTCCGTCGAATTCAGCCCCCCTTGGGTTTTGGGAAGTTGTGTCCTCACCGTGTGGCCTGCAAAGTAAGAAATGACCTGGGTTCCTGAAGGGAAAGGACAAATGCAGGAGGCTAGATACCTACTGCCTTTGTGATTATTAAGGGAATAAAGATATTATAGGTATTTAGAGAAACAAATGTGAGCTGGAGTCTATTTTAAGGACCTTCCATATCTAAAGTCCCAAGACTTTAAAAGAACAACCGTCACAGCAAATGCCTTGTTTCCCAGTGAGGGAAGCAGATATCTGAAGAAAGGGTTTATACAGCCCATCAGGCTGCATGACCTGGGCATCAGGTGACTCTCCTCACCTAGGGAGAGGGGTTAGGAACTTTGACCTGAAGTCAGAAAACAGTTAGAGAGGTCACAAATTATGTCTCATCACAAAATACAAACTTTACCCAGACAGGAACCTGCCATTTTTATCAAATTCCTAAGCAAATCTGTGATTCAAAACTGGCTGGGACAAACGCATCAGGCTCTGATAAACACAGCCACTCGCTGACCTTGAGGATAGGAACCCTTAAGCCTACTGTAGACCCTGCCACATGGCCCAGGGACTGCTGAGGAGCATCCCCTCATTCAGTCACCATCTGCCTCCGTTCTCCCCATTCTGTGCTTCTGGTGAGAACCCTGGTGACTTTAGAAAGAGCTGGAAAAGCAGAGTTTAGGAAGCATGGAACTTTTACTTATGCTCTGTGGTAGTCTGATTTCCCTTATCAATACCCCCACTTTATTTCAAAAGGAACTTCAGGAGATTTCCAAGGGTCCTGAAAATACGAGAAACAGGAGCCTTCTATCATTCTGCTTTCTGGGGCTGTGACAAGTACCTGAGTTGCTTAACCTGTAAAAAGGTTTCTTTTGGCTCACAGTTTTGGAGGCTGTGATCACTGGGCCTATGCTTTGGGTCTATGGCAGCTTCAGAACATTACAGTTGAGGAAGAGGCCACTCACTCAGGATCTCTTCACCTCAGAAGCTGAGAGGGAAAAAGAGAGACCAAGATCCTAATACCCTCCTCAAGGGTGTGGTTTCCTGTAATTTCTTCCCACTAGACCCTACCTCCTGAAAGGCCCACTACTTCCCAAGAGTACTGAGCCTGGGAACTGAGCTTTTATGGCATGGCCTTTGGGTGACATTTAGGATTCAAGCTGAAAGAAGTACCAATAAAATGTAAGATCAGACAACCCAGAGGGAACTGGAGTGTACAGGTCATGACCTTAACATGGGCCTGTTAGGGCCGAGAGCTGGGACTGAAGTTAGTGTCTAAGAGATTCAAAATGATGCATTCACCCGGGAAAAATACAACCCTTGGCAAAATATCACATCAGTATGTGATCAGTATGACATCAGTGCTCTCCACAATGGACATCCTTCTCCCAATGATCCCTGTATGCTGCTGACTCCCCAAGGGAGGAGGAGGCCAAGGGAGCATGTTTTGGGGTTGGAGAGCAACAAAATCCTGTTTGGGTGAGTGATTTTAGTGCCAGAACTGAAGTGGAGATAACTGTGTCTGTGTACAGAAAAGGGGTCCCCCCAGAGCCATCTCATATTCCTTTTCTTTGAAGTTGGAACTGTCTTGCTGCTAGTGGATAGCTTAACTGTGTCTATCGGCTTGAGCACAGAGTAGGGAAGGGTGCTTTGTGGAAGCAAGGGCTAAGGGATGTAGAAACACAAGAATCCTTACCACAAAGCCTTGTTTCTCCCTGGAAAAGCTGTGGAAACACTGTGGTGACCACATGCATACCCCTCTCACTCCCGACAGCACCCATCCCAGTTTCCAGGGCCGCCAACCTCCGTGCCACAATGATTGCACAGAGCCTTTAGGACTGCCTGTCCTTGTCACTGACTTAGCCTCCTTTCCCTCCAGCGCCTGGTGTCTATGAACATGCCTCTGAACAGCGATGGGACAGTCATGTTCAATGCTACCCTGTTTGCCCTAGTCAGGACAGCCCTGAGGATCAAAACGGAAGGTAATGGCTCCCGTGGACCACTGGTACCACTGGTAGGAGGGTGCTTAGGAGAGTCAGAAAAATGTTCCTGCCTACCTAGCCTGCACTCTGGCTCTCCAAGAGGGGCATCACGCTTACATTCTCTCTGGTTCCTAAATGGCCCCCTTGCCATAGCTTATTTATTTTGAACTATTCTTTTCCATCAAACCCTAGAAATTGCCCCGGTAACCTCCTGAGGACTGAAGGTTTAGTGCAAAACATGGAAGAGGTGGTTGTGTTGCAAAGCAGGACCAAGCCCCTTACCGATGGACTTTTATTAGAGACAGGCATGTCTGCCAAACATTCGATTCTCTTTTGAAATTTAAAGGACCTATATTAGAAAGGTGACATTGACGAGCAGTGACTATGGTAAATAGAAGTCATTGACTGCAGAAGCTTGGGAACCTGCATTTAGCGAGAACTGCACAGATTTCTCTTGTATGAACTAGAGTTTGGCACCGCTGATGCACCCTGAGAGTCCCTGGCTTCTAGCCAGTGTCATTGGTGCAGTGGAAGGGCATTGGGCATCACAACAGAGCACAGCATGGGCGTAACTACTCACTGTCTTGCTTCAGTTTCCGTATTGTGAAATAATGAAAGGCGGTGGCATTTGGCATTTATTTCAGAGTCACCCAGAGAGGTGCCTTCTTTAGTTTCACTCTTCCAGAGAGTAACAGACACAAGGGAACCAAGAACCAATCCTGCAAGATACATGTCAGGATAATGAGCCAACCTTCAAAAAATAAAAATGGATCAAACTAAAAAGAAAGCAAAGGCAAAAAAAAAAAAAAAAAAAAAAAAAAAAAACAATGTCATTAGTAGTGCAAAACTTCAATCTGGGGTAGGTGTAAATGGGCCTGATGAGAAAATTCGATACACACTTAATGCACACATGTATATAACAGACAAAACTGGAAGGATGTCTGCTGTTATATTAATATTGATTTCACTGTGTAGTGGAACCTTCTTTCAACTCCATCTTTCCAAGTTTTCAACAGTGATTATTATTTCCTTTCCATTCCAAGGGAAGGGCTTCCTTCTCCAAGGAGAAAAGACAGAATGACTACTAGAAAGAATGTGTTGTGATACTTAAAGCTTGGAACAAATTAATAATGCAGGTTTTGGCTCCAGGAAGGAATAAAAAGCACTTGTGCACAGAAGCCAAGGCTTAGTGATGCACTGCACAGGCAAACCAGATCTCCATGAAATAATGCCAGTACCTAAGGGGCTGCCAAACACTCAATCACATATAACCATTGTTAGGAAATGGGAATTCCTGAGGAGAGAAGCCAGCCAGTGAGACATACAGTTAATTAAGAATTAAAGATAAACACTTAAATATAAAGGCTCTTGGGGATAGCCACCAGGGGCATGTAATACCTCAGTATTCGAGGCCAAGCCTTCATCTAAAACAGGCCTTCTATGAACTTGTTACATAAGACTGGGAGTCAACACACCACTCAGACAAGAAATTCGAGGAAACACCAACATTTATAGGGATAAGACAAATCAATCTTCACTCACCCTTCAGGCATTTATAAGAAGTGGAAGTAACTAGAAAAAAAATTAACTTGTACTTTAAGAACCAGAAACCTTACCCCAAGCCAAGTATCAAGCTGAATAAGAATTTCCATTGGAACACTAAAGGAAGAAGGTATTTAAAGGTATTTAAATTAGGCTTGGAGTGTAGCTCAACCCTACAGCAGGTTCCTAACATGCACAAGGTCCAAGATTCAGCCCCCAGCACTGAAAACAGAACAATAAAAATAAAACATATATATTATGAAACAATTATTGGTGAAATTTCATGGCTACATTGGGTTGTTATAGAAATAAATGAAAGCCTAAAAATGTGTAGGATCCTTTGGAAGATACATTTCTTCCTTAGGTCTGACTAAATGATCACAAACTTGGTTCCTCTCACAATTTAACCGCCCAAAGTGAGGTGTTGGCAGACTGGTTCTTTCCAGAGGTCTTGGGGGAGAATGGGCTCCATGTCTCTCTCTGGCTTCATGTGGTCTCAAGTACATGGCTGCATTCCTCAGTCTCTACCACCCTCTTCACAGTATGACCTAGTCTGTGTGCCACTGGTCTTTTCTTCTTGCTCCAATGGCACCAATCACATTGAGTGGGTAGTCTACCCTAACATATCATGACTTCACTAGTTACCTCTATGAAGACCCTGTTTCTAGATGTCATAGTTAGGGTTTCTATTGACCATGGCAACTCTTATAAACATTTAATTGGAGTGACTTACAGTTCAGAGGTTCAGTCTGTTATAATCATGGTGGGACATGGCAGTGGACAGGCAGACATGGTGCTGGAGAAGGAGCTGAGAATTCTACATCTTGATCCAAAGGTAACAAGAAGTAGACTGAGTGTCACACTGAGCAAAGCTTGAGCAGAGGAGAAGACCTCAAAGCCCACCCCCACAGTGACACACTTCCTCCAACGAGACCACACCTACTAATAGTCCCACTCCCTATGAGTATATGGGGGCAGTTATCTACAAATTACCACATTCCACTCCCTGGCCCCATAAACATAATGCAATATGCATTTAGTCCAACTTCAAAAGTCCCCACAGTATAATCACAGTCTAAACAATGTTTTCAAGTCCAAAGTTCAAAGTCTCTTCTAAGATTCATGCATTTGCTTAACTGTAATAAAAATAAAAATAAAAAAAAAAACAGATCACATTACTTCCACCATAATGATACAGGATATACATTGCAATTCCAAAACGTATGGAAGGGAGCATAGGTAGGAAATACGGGACCAAAGCAAGACCAAAAACCAGCCAGTCAGACTCCAAACTTTGCACCTCCATGTCTGATATCAAAGCACTCTTCAGATACCCAACTCCTTTCAATTTTGTTGTCTGCAACACACTTCTTTCTCTTTGGCTGGTTCCACTCCCTGTTAGCAGCTTTCCTCGGCAGGTATTCCATGCCTGTGGCATCTCTAACATCTTGGGGTCTCCAAGGCAATCCAGACGTAAACTTCACAGCTTCACACAATGGCCTCTCTTGGCCTCCATTCAGGGACACACACCCCTGACACATGCCTGACCTCTGTGGCTTTCCTTAGTTGTTCCTTGACTCTAAATATGAACCATGTGACTAAAGCTGCCAAGTTCTGCTGCTTTCTTGGGCTGGAACGTGACTCCCTTGTTCAATTACATCTTCACCAGCTTTCCGTTTTCCATGGTTTCCTTGACTGCCTAAACTTGGATGTTCTGGAACTTGCTCTGTAAACCAGGCTGGCCTCAAAGTCAGAGATCTGCTAGCCTCTGCATTCTGAGTACTGGCATTAAAAGTGGACACCACCATACCTAGCTCTAAACTTTCTTTAATTCCTTTTTATAAATAAACTTAGCTGGGTGGGACCTTACCCTGCGATCACTACTCTCTTTATTCCATTTGTTAATTTGTTTTTCTTCTTAAACATAAGACTTAGCTCCATTCCACTTCCTGATGCTCTTTTTCTCCTCAAATTGTACATTTTGTATTTTTACTTTCTCACCTTGCTCCTTTTCATTATAAATCTTCACTATAGATAACACTAATAACCATATAACAGAGCCTATACTAAGCTGTTTTGAGATTTTTCTCTTCCAAGAGAATTAATCAAAAACTCTTCAATTTATCTGCAGGAAGATTTTTTGGACAAAAGCAAAAAGCAGCCACATTCTTCACCAAAATATCATAAGAACAATCTCTAGCCAATATACTAAAATTCTTCTCCTCTCAAACCTCTTGAATCAGTCCTCCACAGTTCATCAAATCTTATTCAGCATTATTGTTCTCCATGCTCCTACTAATATGGACCATTAAGTAGCACTTAAACATTCAACTGCCTTTTCTAATCCACAGTCCCAAGGTCCATATTCCTTCAAACAAAAGCGTGATCAGGCCTATCACAACAATACTCCACTCCCAGTACCTTCTGTCTTAGTTAGGGTTTCTATTGCTGTGAAGAGACACCATGACCACAGCAACTCTTACAAAGAAAACATTTAATTGAGGTGATGGCTTCCAGTTTCAGAGGTTTAGTCTACTATGATCATGGTGCAACATGGTGGCATACAGGTAAACATGGTGCTGGAGAAGGGGCTGAGAACTCTACATCTTGATCTGAAGGCAACAGGAAGTGACCTGAGTGTAGCTTGAGCATAGGAGACCTCAATACCCACCCCCACAGTGACACACTTCCTCCAACAAAGCCACACCTACTAATAGTGCCACTCCCTATGAGCTTATGGGGGCCAATTACACTCAAACGACCACACTAGATAAATTCACATTCTGATTTTTCATGTAGACATAAGTTTTGGATTACTTCTTTCAACCCAATAAAAGATGAATTCATTTGCACATTGTTATATCAGGATTCTTTCACTGCATGTGTCAGAAACCACTAAGTCCAGAATGGAGGCACATACCTGTAGTTCCAGCATTTGAATGCCCAAGGCAGGAGGATTATGAGTTTGAGGTAAATGGGGGATACATAATAGGCTCTTGTTTAAGAAAACAAACAAACAAACAAAGCCATAAATCACCTCCAGTGAAGGGAACTGAAGGCATGTTGGAATGCCCAGGAGGTGTTCTGGCTTCAGCTGTAGTTTGAATTTGATGTTCTACATGTTCAGGAACCATCACTCAGTCCTCATGAGCATCTCTGCTTTCTCCCACATACTAATCCAGAGCTGGGTTTGAACTCAGGCAGTCTGACCCCATAGATCACACAATTCTCCATCACTTCCCCTATGGCGAATGTTACTACCAGCCATATCCTCTTCCCAGTGCTATGCAGCAAACCCCGTAAACTTCACAGCTTCCAAGAACACCCAGTGACTAGCTCACAGTTCTATCAGAAATCCAGACTTGAGAAGTGGGGCACTCTGCTCAGGGACTCTCAAGACAAAAAAACAGTACACTAATTAAGCCAAGCACATTCATACTGGGACTGAAATTCTTCTCCCACTACTGTTGGTGTGCGGTCCCTCCTTCCCTGCAAGCTGCTTCCTTTGCTCAGTGCACAGTATTCGTTCATCTGGGCCTATCAGGGCCCACGTGTCCTACTTACTCTCCTGCTCCCAGCCTGAGAAGGCACTAGACTTCTTTTAAAATAACCTTTTTAGTAAATATACAATGAACAAAATATAGTTATATGTACATATGAATTCTGTGAGTAGGTCATGGGCATCATTTCCCTTTGGTCAGGTAATAGGTGCTGTGTGACATATTCTAATCACAGGAATCCCGTGTAGCACACTCTCACTCCGTGGGATCGCACAGTGCATGCACACTGGTAGCGAGGGGCAGGCTTCCTTGGGTGGATCCTCAAATCCTTTCTAACAATCCCCTCTTACAATTGCTTTTTTGCTTTGCTTCTCCACCAGCATGAGACTGGTGTCTCAGGCAGCATGCATCTAATGAAGTCCAAACTACCACAGCATAGGCCTTCAGGTTTCTGCCTCCATTGTTAAGATTTCTCCACTTCCTTCCCTGGGTTACTCAGCACAGATCTTTTGGACACATGTGTGCCCCCTATGTTGTGTATATGTGTGGGAGGAGTGGATTGTTCTCCCCCAAAAACATCTCCATTTCCTGCAGCTGTACACAGAGGTTGTGTTAGTTAGGATTTACTATTGCTGAGAAGAGACTCCATGACCGCAACAACTCTTATAAAGGAAAAACATTATTTGAGGGTAGCTCGCTTACGGTTTCAGAGGTTCAGGCTATTATGATCATGATAGGAAGCTTGGTGGCGTGCAGGCAGATGTGGTACAGAAGCTGAGAGTACTGCATCTTGCAGGCAACAGGAAGTCAGCCGACTGTCACGCTCAGTGAAGCTTGAGAAAAAGACCTTAGAGCCCGCCCCCTCAGTGACACACTTCCTCCAACAAGGCCACACCTCTTAATAGTGCCACTCCCTTTGGGGGCCATTTTCCTTCAAGCCACCACAGAGGTCATTGTGAAATATCAGTATCAGGATCAGCCTGGATGCTGCCCTCCATGGCAAACAATATCAGAGCTGAGACGTGAATGTCTGCAGGCACCATCATGCTCTCCAGCTGTAACCAGAAGGGACCGTGACTTGGGTGGGGGGACTTTGGGCTGGCTTACAATAGGAAAGAAGAGAATGGCATTGGACAGGGCAAGAGAGGACAGTCACAAGACAGGAAGTAAAGAGAGAGAGGGAAAGAGCAAATGGAAGGAACTAGAGAATAGGAGATGGGGGAGCAGAATGTGGTAACTCAGGGTGACCTGTGGGGCTTCCCAGCACATGGGGGATGTTTCCAGTCTGCACTTCCTTCCATCAGGGAACTTAGAACAAGCCAATGAGGAGCTGCGGGCCATCATCAAGAAAATCTGGAAGAGGACCAGCATGAAGCTGTTGGACCAAGTGGTGCCCCCTGCAGGTGGTGAGTGTTCTCTGCATTCCCAGGCCAGGGTTACTGGCCCAGCCAGTAGGGTTTCTCCACCTTCCTGTCTTCCAGCTGTGCCATTATTAGCACTTCAGACACAGCCCTTGAGACATCCATGCTTGAGTTCACCATGTGGGATTCTTCCCCTTGAGACTTCCTTCTTGAGTCCACTGTGTCCGATCCTTGATCCTTCTTTCTCTGGGCCCTTCCATGGGATCAGAGGCCCCATTGTTGTGATGTCCTGCACTAACTTGGATGCAACCTCTCCTGTTAGAAACCTGCTGTAATCCCACATTCACACATGGGAACAAGCGAGGCCTTCTGTGCTTACGGGTTTGGCAGAACTTTAGTGGGAGCTCTACAATATATGGGTATAGATTTACCCATAAGCCATCGGATTGACTACTCTAGAGTTGCTCTGGAGCTCTGGAAGGAAAGTTGCCTGAGATTCATCACGTCTTTTTATAAGGCTCATTTTTTTTTCAAGTAGCATTTGTCATGCCTGCAAAACCACAAGCCCCTTTTCATAGCAAGTACTTCCTTCATACCACCCCGTTGATAATCCCAAGTCAGAATCATAGATAACCTGCCTGCACTTGTAATTTCCACAGCACTGATAGAATGTTTAAAATGAGGTATGTTAAAAGCAAATGCATTCAATATAAAATGCTCAGTACACCTATACAAAAAGCTGTGATAACTGATGGAATCCTCACATGCAAACACTTAGACTGAGTAACTGTTGAAAGTAAACAAGATAGCATTAAATACTGTCAACACTTTTCATGTGTCATGTATATTGTGTTAGCATGTTAGTTGAGTTCACACATTCCAGAAACATCCTTAAGAGGTGAGACTTCCTGTTTGAGACCCACTTCCAATGGGTGAAGCAAGGCATGCTGGGAGTTGCCATGTACCACCTAATGCTTTGCTTCTCAATTGTATCTGATGCCCACAGCGTCTCTATGAAGTTCACTCCAGGCAGTGATGTTCCCAACCATGTAGATTTCCCAGTGAGTACAGTGTAGACTGAGGCATCCAACTCAGGCCTGAGGGAACCTAGGACTCCAAGTTCATTCCCAGCTTCCCTTATCAGGGATCTCCAGGTTTTTCCCTTCATGTGGCAATGAGCCCTATGGTAAACCCAGAACTTCTGTAGAGTTGGCTACTCTGAAGGAACAATGAGGAAAGCCATCGCAGTTCCTGAGGCCCAGCCCAACCATCTGTCCTTCTCACACCAAAAAGGGGACAAGACAAAGGGACCACTTACTTGGCATGAAACACTCCCCCTGGGACTTAGAGCTTTCCCACCATTCAGCTCACTTCTAAGACCAAGACTATGTCATGTGTGGTCTTGTGTGCCCAGCCCATCAAGGAAACATGGTCTAAGCCAGTCTAACTGACTGGAAGGGAAATCACCGACCTTAAATAAGGAAGGTCCCCTGCCACTAGCCCCTGTCACCCAACTAGAATTGTGGTGACAACTAAGAGACTGATCATTTGATGGCAAGTAGAAACAAACAAGACTTAGTAATGTCCATTCAGGAGGGTGGAAAAAAAAACAAGGTGGAAAGTAACCTTGATAATATCCTACCTTTTCTGTGAGGGAAAAAAATGAGGAAAAAAAAAAAAAACAGCCAGGCATACACATCAGCATATGCTTGTGGTCCCAGCTACTCAGGAGGGAATTGTCACTTTATCCCAGGAATTAGAGGCTATAACACAAAAAGTAAATGACCCCCGAGACTGATATTGGGGTTCAAACTTCAAGCTGAATATCAGAAAAGCAAAGCATCTGGCCACTAGCTTCTTACCTCTACTTCAGGCTGAGTGGGCTGAGATGCTGTCTCCATGAGCTCTCACTAAGACTCAAGACTCAGACCATAACCTCTCCTCAGGTGGCTGGAGAATGAATGCCTCATACTGAAGTCCCTGCTTCTATCTTTTATACCCATCTAGTGCTGGGATTAAAGGTGTGAACTATAATTATCTTTTAGACTGATTCAATCTTGTGTAGATCTGGGTAGCCTTGGATTCACAGAGATTCATCTACCTCTTAATCCTGAGTCCTAAATTTAAAGTTTTACACCACCACCTCCTAGCTTCTGACTGCTGGGATTAAAGGTGTGTATCACCACTGCCTGATCTCTATAGCTTGAGGAAGATTTTGCTTTTCTGAATCCTCAGTCAAGCTTTAAAAAATTGTAAATAATATATCACTACAGGAGGACACCTGGATAAGATAGGCAGAGCTTGTCTCAATTAAAAAGGAAGTGGCAAGGACTATAGGAGCCAAAGGACACCACAGGAACGCTGCCTACAGAATCAGCTAAGCAGGGCTCATAGGGGCTCAGAGACTGAAGCCACAATCAGGGAGCCTGTATGGGTTTGAGTTAGGTCCTCTTCATATATGTTATGATCGTGTAGCTTGGTGTTCTTGTTGGACTCCTAACAGCTGGAGCAGGGCTGTCTCTGATTCTTTGGCCTGCTCTTGGGACCCTTTTCCTTCTACTGGGTTACCTCATCCAGCCTTCATATGAGAGGATGTACCTAGTCTTATTGTAACTTGCTATGCTGTATTCAGTTGATATCCCTGAGAGGCCTGTCCTTTTCTGAAGGGAACTGGAAGAGGAGTGAATCTAGGAGAAAAAGGAAGTAAGGGATGAGAGAAAAAGAGGGAGGGGAAATGGAGGTCATGATGTAATATATGAGGGAAGAATAAATTTGAAAACAGGAGAACAAGAACAAGCAGACAGGAATATGGTGACTTTTTAAGCATATGCCTTTTTACATGTTTATTTTTAATTTTCTTATTAGTTCAAATTAGGAACAAGCTTGTTTCACATGTCAATCC